AGAAAACCTGAATGTTGGTGAGTCCATGCTGCAGCACAGGAACAATAATAACCAGTGAGCCCAAATTAATAATAACACTGATACACAAGCCTCTTCATCCTGAAGGTGGAGACAGGAGCTTGAGGGCAACATGATTAGTATAAACATATAAAACAAACAATAAGGACCAATTCAAAACAACTGTATATTGGAAAAATCAATGAAAGGTAGATAAACTGGAAAACTAGAATCTACTCTGATGACTTAGCAACACGACAGCAAGGTTGAGAGACGGATGTAAACATGAAATTGCTTTACCTGGGTGACCTGAAGCAGAAGATCATGGGAGGCCGGACACTGTGGACCAATAAACTGTGTCAGACCCTCAGCTGTCTTGACCACCTCCTCGTCCAGCAAGCCTAGCTGAGTGTTGATGAGGAGCACCTGCCCACACATAGGGAATAAAACAGAGCAGTCACAGGAAATATAACAAACAATCGTAGAAAGCATAACAAAGAGGGAAAGCCGTAGAAATACATAAATAACCCGCTCACAGGAGACAGACATGACGACGCATCGGTCCGACATGAAACACAGATTAGTCAAACACTTTCAATCCAGTAAATGGGGATTATTTGTTCCAGTCACCTTTTTGTCCCTTTCTATTCTTAAAAGCCGAAAACTTCACATGAAATGAAACATTGATTATCGGGGATAAAACAGATCATCCAACGTGAATTCATCTAAAATTCAACAAATGTATAGAGATGTTAACAGAAGACTGGCAAGAATTATTAAAGCAATTAGAGAAAAGTAATGAGAAACAAACCACAGAACGGGTGGGGTTTAAATCCAGGCGAGTGAGTTAATACGGTTTCGTGAGTAAAAGAAAATGAAATAAGACTAGAAACAAGGGGCGTCCACTTATTGTAAGTATGTGTACAGTTTTAAGATTGTCTCTGGGAAAAATACATTGCAAGTTAGTAAGTTGATTCAGGTATACATAAATACAGTCACACAGATTATCATACATAGCAGCATATATCTACCTCCTAGCATATATCTACCTCCTAGCACATATCTACCTCCAGGTAGGTAGATAACCCAAAAAAACAGTTGTCTCCTACACTCACGGTCTGGGCAATATAGCGTCTGAAGAGTCTGAGGTTGATGAGTGCCTCGGCCTGCCTCTGCACCTCTCCACACACCGGTGTCTTGCACGACCCCCAGGAGTCCTGCGATGCACCCCCCGCCACGCCCTCCACGCCCACCGCCCCCACCACGCACGCCCACGCTATTACCACCAATAAAAGGGGCGGGAGCCCCGACAGTGAGGCAGGATTTTTCATATCTGTGAATTATTAGTAGTAGTATCATTATAATTATTATCATTATAATTATTAGTATTATTATTATTATAATTATTAGTAATTATTATTATTATTATAATTATTATCATCATTATTTTTAGCAGTAGTAGTAGTAGTCATAGTAAACACTAAACCCGTGTGTCATTCATCACAAGGATTGGTGAAGGCTCGATCCTCCGTCCAGTAATCGCGTCCTAAAGACACCCTGGAGTGACTACACAAAGAATCCTTTGCCCTGTGCGTCACATAAAAAAAAAATAATACCACGCACTGCATGATCCCGATTACAAGAAATAAGCGAGAGAAAAAATTATACTTACATGCGTAATCACAGCATTGCGCATGTAAAAAACCGTATTATTGATGAAAATGCGCAGGTTGCCTTTCATTTGTGGTGGGACTTTTTTTTTATAGTCTTAAATTTATTAAAGCCAGTTTTATACGATATACATTTGTTTAAGGTGTGTATATTTTGCCAAATTTTGAACAGAGGATCATAAGAAAGGGAGGTGAGGGAAGGTCACTCGGGCAACGTCAACATTATGGTTCTTACATACTCGTTGATATTTAACAACACAGGGTATATACACTGAGTGGTGTGTATATTAACAACACAGGGTATATACACTGAGTGGTGTGTATATTAACAACACAGGGTATATACACTGAGTGGTGTGTATATTAACAACACAGGGTATATACACTGAGTGGTATATATATATTAACACAGGGTATATACACTGAGTGGTATATATATATATATTAACACAGGGTATATACACTGAGTGGTGTATATATTAACAACACTGGGTATATACACTGAGTGGTGTGTATATTAACAACACTGGGTATATACACTGAGTGGTGTGTATATTAACAACACAGGGTATATACACTCAGTGGTGTGTATATTAACAACACAGGATATATACACTGAGCGGTGTGTATATTAACAACACAGGATATATACATTGAGCGGTGTGTATATTAACACAGGGTATATATGCTGAGTGGTATATATATTAACACAGGGTATATATACTGAGTGGTATTTATATTAACACAGGGTGTATACACTGAGTGGTATATATATTAACACAGGGTATATACACTGAGTGGTATATATATATTAACACAGGGTATATACGCTGAGTGATATATATATTAACACAGGGTATATACACTGAGTGGTATTTATATTAACACAGGGTATATACACTGAGTGGTATATATATTAACACAGGGTATATACACTGAGTGGTATATATATTAACACAGGGTATATACACTGAGTGGTGTATATATTAACACAGTGTATATACACTGAGTGGTATATGTATTAACACAGGGTATATAGACTGAGTGGTGTATATATTAACACAGGGTATATACACTGAGTGGTGTATATATTAACACAGGGTATATACACTGAGTGGTATATATATATATATATATTATATATATATATATTAAATATATATATAATTTATATATATATTATTTATTATATATATAATATATATATTTATATATATATATATATATTAACACAGGGTATATACACTGAGTGGTGTATATATTAACACAGTGTATATACACTGAGTGGTATATATACTAACACAGGGTATATACACTGAGTGGTATATATATTAACACAGGGTATATACACTGAGTGGTATATATATATTAACACAGGGTATATACACTGAGTGGTGTATATATTAAGACGGGGTATATATACTGAGTGGTATATATATTAACACAGGGTATGTACACTGAGTGGTATATATATTAACACAGGGTATATATACTGAGTGGTATATATATTAACACAGGGTATATACACTGAGTGGTATATATATTAACACAGGGTATATACACTGAGTGGTATATATATATTAACACAGGGTATATACACTGAGTGGTGCATATATTAACACAGGGTATATATACTGAGTGGTATATATATTAACACAGGGTATATACACTGAGTGGTATATATATATTAACACAGGGTATATACACTGAGTGGTGTATATATTAACACAGGGTATATACACTGAGTGGTATATATATTAACACAGGGTATATACACTGAGTGGTGTATATTAACACAGGGTATATATACTGAGGTGGTATATATATTAACACAGGGTATATACACTGAGTGGTATATATATTAACACAGGGTATATACACTGAGTGGTATATATATTAACACAGGGTATATACACTGAGTGGTGTATATATTAACACAGGGTATATATACTGAGTGGTATATATATTAACACAGGGTATATACACTGAGTGGTATATATATTAACACAGGGTATATACACTGAGTGGTATATATATTAACACAGGGTATATACACTGAGTGGTGTATATATTAACACAGGGTATTACACTGAGTGGTATATATATTAACACAGGGTATATACACTGAGTGGTATATATATTAACACAGGGTATATATACTGAGTGGTATATATATTAACACAGGGTATATACACTGAGTGGTATATATATTAACACAGGGTATATATACTGAGTGGTATATATATTAACACAGGGTATATACACTGAGTGGTATATATATTAACACAGGGTATATATACTGAGTGGTATATATATTAACACAGGGTATATACACTGAGTGGTATATATATTAACACAGGGTATATACACTGAGTGGTATATTATATAACACAGGGTATATACACTGAGTGGTATATATATTAACACAGGGTATATATACTGAGTGGTATATATATTAGCACAGGGTATATACACTGAGTGGTATATATATTAACACAGGGTATATACACTGAGTGGTATATATTATTACACAGGGTATATACACTGAGTGGTATATATATTAACACAGGGTATATATACTGAGTGGTATATATATTAACACAGGGTATATACACTGAGTGGTATATATATTAACACAGGGTATATACACTGAGTGGTATATATATTAACACAGGGTATATATACTGAGTGGTATATATATTAACACAGGGTATATACACTGAGTGGTATATATTATTAACACAGGGTATATATACTGAGTGGTATATATATTAACACAGGGTATATACACATGAGTGGTATATATATTAACACAGGGTATATACACTGAGTGGTATATATATTAACACAGGGTATATACACTGAGTGGTATATATATTACACAGGGTATATATACTGAGTGGTATATATATTAACACAGGGTATATACACTGAGTGGTATTATATTAACACAGGGTATATAACTGAGTGGTATATATATTAACACAGGGTATATAACTGAGTGGTATATATATTAACACAGGGTATATACACTGAGTGGTATATATATTAACACAGGGTATATACACTGAGTGGTATATATATTAACACAGGGTATATACACTGAGTGGTATATATATTAACACAGGGTATATACACTGAGTGGTATATATATTAACACAGGGTATTACACTGAGTGGTATATATATTAACACAGGGTATATATTACATGAGTGGTATATATATTAACACAGGGTATATACACTGAGTGGTATATATATTAACACAGGGTATATACACTGAGTGGTATATATATTTAACACAGGGTATATAACTGAGTGGTATATATATTAACACAGGGTATATACACTGAGTGGTATATATATTAACACAGGGTATATACACTGAAACATAAAACTCTGCTTGACCTTATGGATTATCACAAATTAATCTACATAATACACTGATGTATACCTGCAATATTCAGGGTAGTCAGCGCTCCGCGTCCGGTTGCGACAGGTACCGCGGTGGATCAGGGCTGATCATAACCAGGTATTATGCTGGCCAATGAATTTGTTAACACTAAACACATCTATGTTGCCCTCACCAGCACTGTACAAATCTGTATATATGTCTTTAATATCTCAGGTGTATTACACTGAGATTTATAATTAATCTCAGTTTAATGGACTCAGTATATTATTGACTGGTGTACAGGTGGACATGTAAGCCTTGATAACTCATCGTTTATATGTACAAGGTTAGCCAAGTAATAAGCAACCATATATACGATAGAAATATAGTAAGTTCATCAGGTGTATGGTACACATGAATATCATTATATAAATTATCATACTAGGGAATATGTATAGATTACCTAGGGTAACCATAAAAAGGTTCAGACATAGTGCTTATTACTTAACAAGTTATTACATGTCAGGAGAGGTTCAGTTTACCAGTAATAATACTAGTGGTAATAAATGACACTGAGGTAAACACTGAGTGGTATATATATTAACCATGTCTATCTTCTGTAGTGGTATAGTTACAGGGTATATCACTGAGTGGTATATCATGTTAACGCAGTATATACACTGAGTGGTATATATATAACCAAAGGGGTTTTTCTATGAGAGGAAAGGGGTATAATAACTTAAGGGGTTAAAACTGTTGGTGAGGAGTTAACACAGGGATATATACTGATGGTGATATATATAACACAGGGTATTAATGAGTGGTATATATATTAAACAGGGTATATACACTGAGTGGTATATTTTAACACAGGAAATAATAGGTGGTTATTATTAACAGTATATACACCTGATGTATATCATATTAACACAGGGTATATACATGAGTGGTATATTATTAACACAGGGTAATACACTGGGGTTATATATTAACACAGGGTTATACACTGAGTGGTTATATAATTAACACAGGGTATATACACTGAGTGGTATATATATTAAAACAGGGTATTATACTGGTGGTATATATATTAACCCCAGGGGATATACACTGAGTGGTATATATAATTTAAAACAGGGTATATATACGAGTGGGATATATATTTAAAACCCGGGTATATAACGATTTTAAAAATTAACACAGGGTATATACACTGAGTGGGAATATTTAACCAGGGTAATTTTCACGAGGGATATATATTAACCGGGTATATACCTGGTGGTATAATATTAAAACGGGGTTTTACACTGAGTGGTATAATATTTAACCGGGGATATACACTGATGGTATATATATTAACACAGGGTTATACACGGTGGTAAATAATTAACCAGGGTAATACACTGAGTGGTTATATATTAAAAACAGGGATAACATGAGTGTATATAATTTAAAACAGGGTAATACACTGATGGGATATATTAACACAGGGTTTTACACTGAGTGGGATATATATTAACACGGTATATACACTGAAACATAAAACTCTGCTTGACCTTCATGTTATCACAAATTTAAAACTACATAATACCGAAATAACCCGAATATATTCGGGGGGCACGCCCCCGCGGCCCCGGGCGCGACCAGGGCCCCGCGGGGGATCAGGGCCTGATCAACCAGGCAATTTCTGCCCCACATGCAATTTGTTTCACCTACAGACTCTATGTGCCCTCCCACACTGTACAAATCTGATTTTGTCTTTAAAATCTCATGTATAAACACTGAGATTTTAACCTAAAACCAGTTTTTAAAGGGCTCAAGTATTCTTGCCTGGTGTACGGTGCATGTACCTTGAAAACCCCTCGTGTAGGATGGTTTTGCAACGAAAAAAGCCAACCAACTTTACGATAGAAATATAGTAAGTTTTCCCCCGGGGGGGTCCATGAATACAATTTAAAATTATCATACATGCGGAATATGTAAGATTTTACCCCAGGGTAACCCAAAAAAAGGGCAAAAAGGACTTATTCCCCTAAGTTATTTCATGTCAGGGGGGGTTCATTTTCCCTAATAGATCACTAATGTTAAGAAACACTGACCAGTTTGAATCAAGGTTTTTGGGGTTTTTGTCCCTCTCTCTTTGTCGCCGTTTGTACAGCCTGCCTGTGGGGTGCTCTGGGTGGTGCTGTGCAGGCTGGGGCCGCAACCTCTGCCTCCCTAGGGCACTGAAGGGGCGTTTTTGGGCCAAGGGGAGGGGGGGGAGAGGGGGAAAAAGGGGTGACTTAGATTGAACAGTTGGGTGGGGGGGGGGAGGGATGGGGGCCACATGTGGGGCTTTGTGTGAGGGGGGGGGAGTTGAGAGAAGGGGAGAAAGAGGGATCCAGAGAGGGTTTTGGGGGTTAGATTCATAGAAAGTAAGTTAGGGTAATTCAAGTTATTTAACTTTATGTACCCCTACCCCTGCTTTGGGCGGTAGTTGGGTGGCAAAGCTCTCCTACAACACGGAGGCCCGGGTTTGATTCCGGCGGGGGGAAACATTTTGACGCGGGTTCCCTTCCTTGTGGTTGATATTAAACAACACAGGGTATAACACTGAGTGGGGTTTTTTTAACACGGGAATAACTGGTGGTTATATATTAACAGGGTATACACTGAGGTACCTGGGTGTTAGTTGACTGGTGTGGGTGGCATCCTGGGGGACAAGACTGAGAACCACAATGGAAATAAGTTAGACAGTCCTTGATGACTCACTAACTTTCTTGGGTTATCCAGGGTGGCTAACCCTCCTTGGTTAAAAATCCGAACGAAATCTTATCTTATGTTACAGAGGTACATAATGAGTCCAGGGACTGGGCCGTAAAGTTTTGATAGCCGAACAACTTACAAAGGTAATGAACTGTTAACATGTTTATATCTGGTCACAATCGTAATGAGTTATTTATGCAGACAGATAAGAGGGAGGAAGAGAGGGTAGGGAAGGGGAATATATAGATGCTGAGGATAGAGACGGAGAAAATATGATTTTCTAGCAGTATCAAGGCCCATCCCACCTTGAAAGGATTAATCAAGGTACAATGATGAATCTGTCACATACGTAAATATATTATTTAAAAATGCCATTATATTGCCAGCTAATAAAAATAAGTTACTCTGACTTTTTTAGGTTATCCTAGGTAATTTACACTATGTATTATTAGCTGTACTTATGTGCACCTGTGCCTTAATAAACTTACTTAGTAATTATGTTCTAGCCTTCATTTATATTACCCTTTATTAATATTATTAATATTTATTAATTTGTATTCAGTTAAATTACCCTGGTAAGTTAGTAACCCAGGATAACCCACAAAAGCCAAGCAGTGTGGCTTATTGCCTCTGGGATCCTTATGTCCTCCCCTAGGATGCCACCCACAACACTCTACTAACTCGCAGGTACCTACTTACAGCTAGGTGGAAAGATGCAGCTGCTGTAATGAATCTTGACAATTTGCCTCTCCTCACCCGGGATTGAACCCTGGTCCATTCGGTCGTGAGCTGGACAACAACTGGAAATATATCGTGATACAATGGCCCGAGCCTTGGTAATGAAAGTGTAATGAGTATATTATAATGATTTTACTAAACTATTTTTAATTATATTGCGTGTACGTGTATGATGCAACACATGTACAACCATGTATCATGTCAAAATAATTTTATTATTATTATTATTATTATTATTATTATTATTATTATTATTATTATTATTATTATTATTACATTGTAAAATCAAGTTGTTGATCCCACTGCTCTCTTCAGTGTCCTACTTGGGTTCGGTTTTAGATTCACCGGTATAATTGCCTGGCCCGGGCCTTTTCCAAGAGGTGGCCCGGCCTTGGCTGCCTGTCTTGGGAGTGTCTCAGACCAATGTCTGCCATGGCAGGAGGTACAAGTACCTCTCGTCTTCTGGGACCAGCTGTCCCCTAGGCCTAGCCCTATTCCCCGCCCCCACGGGGCTCGAAGGGAGAAGCTAGGCACCTTGGGCTGCCCACACTGGGCTTGAAGGGTGTGGCAGCTGCATAGCAGCAGACGATGTCAGGAGGTGCAAAGGCGGCAAGCACTACAGGATTCTTTTGGATTTACACCCCAGCTTTGGGCATTAAGCCCGAGGGCTGGGGAAGCTCAAGAACGCCTCTTGTTGTGTGTTGCTGCTGCTACTACTACACTTGTCCGCTGCACTCTTCTGCTACTTGGGTTTAATGCCACTGGTGAGATCTTAAGAAAAAGCCTCTTTGACGTTAAGCAGATGGAAGGGAGGGTCAGTGACGCAGGTGCTTATAATGACCTATATCTCTTCACTAAGTGCCTTTCCCTTAATAATAATAATAATAATAATAATAATAATAATAATAATAATAATAATAATAATAATAATAATAAATAATTATTTCTACAAGTACATGTACAAGGTCTTCAAGCTGGCACTGGACAAGCACCTAAAGTCGGTTTCTGATCAGCCGGGCTGTGGCTCGTACGTTGGTTTGCGTGCAGCCAGCAGTGACAGCCTGGTTGATCAGGCTCTGATCCACCAGGAGGCCTGGTCACAGACCGGGCCGCGGGGGCGTTGACCCCCGGAACTCTCTCCAGGTAAACTCCAGGTAAACAAGTTATGTATACAAGCATAGCTGACATCAATGACATACTACTATATAGAAAGCCCTTTGTTATGCAGAGCATTTCGGGCAAATTAGATCAGTTTTGCCCCAGGATGCGACCCACACCAGTCGACTAACACCCAGGTACCTATTTTACTGCTAGGTGAACAGGGACAGTAGATGTCTTAAGGAAACACGTCCTAATGTATCTACCTGTACCGGGGATCGAACCACGGACCTCATGTCCCGTACCTCAATCGAGCTACTGGACGGGTAAGTTGATTTAAGTACAGGTACACATAAGTACAAGTGTCTTACAAAGTGTAAATTACCTAGGATAACTCAAAAAAAAAAGGTCGGAGTGACTTATTTCCAGTGGGGTCCTTATAACTTACTTTTAACAATGTTCTCCTTCCTTTGTTGGCCTTAAACTGGAAGACTGACTTCCTCCTAAACGCCATGTTAGAAAAGGTTTTAAACCTTCCCCTGGATCAATCTCAGCGGGTACAAAATACACTTCCACTCAGAGAGGTTACCTGGAGGAGGTTACCTGGAGGTTATTCCGGGGATCAACGCCCCCGCGGCACGGTCCATGACCAGGCCTCCCGATGGATCAGGGCCTGATCAACTAGGCTGTTACTGCTGGCCGCACGCAGTCCAACGTACGAGCCACAGCCCGGCTGATCCGGCACTGACTTTAGGTATCTGTCCAGCTCTCTCTTGAAGGCAGCCAGGGGTTTATTGGCAATTCCCCTAATGCTTGATGGGAGGCTGTTGAACAGTTTTGGGCCCCGGACACTTATGGTGTTTTCCCTTAGTGTACCCAAAGGCGCCCCTACTTTTTATTGGGGGCATTTTGCATCGCCTGCCCAGTCTTTTTTCTTTCGTAGGGAGTGATTTCTGTGTGCAGATTTGGGACCATTCCTTCCAAGATTTTCCAAGTGTAGATTATGATATATCTCTCCCCCCTGCGTTCCAACGAGTACAAGTCAAGTGCTTCCAAGCGTTCCCCGTAGTTAAGGTGCTTGACAGAACTTATACGGCAGTAAAGGATCTCTGTACACTCTCTAGATCTGCGATTTTCCAAACCCGCTTTGAAAGGAGATGTTAATGTACAGCAGTAAATTTCCCGCCTAGAGAGAACAAGTGGTTTTAAAAGGATCATCATGGGCTTGGCATCTTCGTTTTTTTAAAAATTTCATTATCCATCCCATCATTTTTTGCACGTGCGATCGTGGCACTGTTGTGACCTTTAAAATGAGATCTGCATTATACTCCAGGTCCCTTTCATTGTTTTCCGCTCTATTGTATGGCCGGGTAGTAGTTACTCTGTTTGTTATTATCTCCTCGTTTTCCATAAGGAGTAGTTGGATTTTCCCCATTGAACCCTTTTTTGTTTCCGTTGCCCCCTTGGGAAAAACTTTGTTTATATCTTCTTTGGGGGTTAAAAGCGTCCTCAGCAGGACAGCCTCGCAGTTCCCAGTATCATCCGCAAAAGGGTGATCGGTGTGTTTAATGGGTTTACCTGGGAGAGTTTCGGGGGGCAAACCCCCGCGGCCCCGGCTGTACCAGGCCTCTGGTGGTCAGACCTGATCAACCAGGCGTTGTGTGGCTGACGCAAAAAACTACGGCCACAGCCCCGGTGATCAGGAATGATTTAGGTGTTGTCCGTCCCACTTGAAGATGCCAGGGGTCTGTTGGTAATCCCCCTTTTGTGTGCGGGAGGCAGTTAAAACAGTCTGGCCCCCTGACACTTATTGTATGGTTCTTAACGTGCAGTGACACCCCTGTTTTTCATTGGGGGGGAGGTGCATGTCTGCCAATTTTTGCTTTCGTAGTGAGTGATTTTTTGGGGTGAAGTTCGGTACAGCCCCTCTAGGTTTTTCCCCAGGTGTAATAATCATGTATCTCTCCCCCCTGCGTTCCGGGAAAATACAGGTTTGGGAACCCTCAAGCGCCCCCAGTAATTGAGGTGTTTTATTCCTTTAGCCGCCCGGGGGAAAGTTCCTGTACATTTTCTGGGTCGGCAATTTCACGCCTTGAAAGGTGCTTTATTTTTCAGAAAATTTTCCCAGCCTAATAAAAACAAGTGACCTAAGAGTGTATCAGGGGGTTGGGCCTCCCTAGTTTTGAAGGTTCTCATTACCCCTGCCCTTTTTTTTAGCAGATGCGATTGATACAATGTTTGGCCTTGAAGTGAGATCCTCCGACATGATCACCCCGGGTTTTTGCGTTGGGTTTTCGCTCTATTTTGGGGCCAGAATTTGTTTTGTACTTGTGAAAAAATTTAAATTTTCCCTTTGTTTACCATATTGGTAATTAAAAATTTCTCATCGTTGAACTTCTATTTTTTTTGCAGCCCACTGAAATTTTTGGGTTGAGTCCCCCGGAGCCTTGCAGTGCGCAATGGAAACATGTCATGCGATTCGGGTGTCATCTGAAAAGGAAGACCGGGTGCTGGGCTGACACCCCTTGTTTGTCGGATTGGGGTGAGGAAAAAATGGGGCGGTACTGTGCCTTGGGAACAGGTTTTTCACCTTTGCTGCCTGGATTTACTTTTTGAGATACTCTCTGTGTTCTGTTGTGGGGAAAATTTTATAGATCCTCGCCCGACTTTTCCTGTTATTCCTTAGCACGCTTTTGTGCGCATTACCCCCATGGTCACACTTGTCGAAGGCTTTTTGCAAGTCGTTTTTAATTACATCTGCTTCTTTTTGTCTTCTAGTGCATTTAGGACCTTGTCGTAGTGTCCAAAGTTAGAAGACAGGTGTGGTGTATATCTCTTTTTAGTCTGATATGGGATAAAGAATAAATGGGGGCGGGGTACGGGCCCTTGTGGAACAGAGCTCTTCACATGGCAGCCTCCGATTTAACTCTGTTGACCATATTTTGTGTTCGTTTTGTTAGGAAGTTAAGATCCATCCCCCCATTTCCCCAGTTTTCCTTTAGCAGTATTTTATGGGTATTACGCCAGATCGCATTTGTAAATTTTTTGCAAAGTTTTTGTGTATATTACATCTGCATTCTGATTTTCTTCCAGTGCACCCAAGGCCAAAGTCAAGGCCAGTATTGTGAGAGGAGGAGCGCCCTGCCAAAACCCTGTTCCCTGGATTGGCAGTTTTTTGGGAATCCGGTGATTTGCAATCCTGTTCTTGCACTCTTTTTCAAAATTTTTATGATGGGACTCAGAGCTTTGGCTTTTTTTTGGGAATGCTTTGTGCCATTTATGGAGTGGGGCTTTTCCCTTGTTTTAATGACTGGGAATTTCCCCAGCCCCAAGCTCCCCCTCCTATTTACTTGGGCACGCGAGGGGGGTTTTTTGCAGTTTTTAAATGAAAACAGAGTTCCACGAGTCGGGGGCCCGGGGGCTGATGCAAGGCATGTTGTAAATTTGGTTTTTTTCGAATCTACGGAGTTGGGTATGTGGGAAAATCTGGCTCATTTTGGGGAGTTTGGGCTCATTCTGAAGAAATATTGGGGTCCGTTTCCAACCGATTAGTGGTTCACAAAACCGGACACTTGCAACCCCTTCAGAAACCTCAAAAGCCTTCTACCCCTTTCCCAGGGGGCCCCAAAAAACCTGGTGAATGAAATTTACCACAATATGTAATCACTGTGGCGTATTGGGTACCAGCTACCCCGGGGTTCCAGTATGGGATCCCATTTCAATGAGACAAGACCACAAAAAATATAGCTCAAAACAACCCAGTTGCACCCCCTATGTGGAAAAGGCAGCTACAGCAATGTTAGTGGGGCAATATCTGCAAGTAAAAGACCTTGCTTATTGTGTTTTTTTTTTACCTTTGAGAGCACTTATTTGAGGACTGTCCCCAAACCGTTCCCATTTCTGAAAGGGAAATGCCTAACCTGAGACCCTTTCTTTCAGTGGCTTTTTCCCCTTATCCCATATTCACCTGAGATAAGTACTTTGTGCAAAGAGGTAGTTGCCAATAGGGCCAAAGGTTCAATTTTCCAAATGTTGACATATAAGACACGATAAAGTCAAAAAAATCGATTTTGCTACATCCAGCCCCAGTGAGAATCCCTGTTTATTACCCAGCCCCCTGGATGTCCCCCCCAGCCACCTGGGGGGGGGGATCACCTTACACCCCTTGGAAAACTTTCCCCACCTTTGGTGATGGGGAAAAATGCCTTTGTTTTCTAAGAGAGTGGGGGGGTTTCCCAAACTCATCGAAACCCGGCCTCAGTTTGGCGATCCCAAAAAGGGGAGCCTGCTGCATTTAGATTCCCAGCGACGTCCCAAAAACCAACCTAAGTGTTTTCATTTTTTGCAAAATTCTGCATATATAAGATTCCTAAACCCGGTAAGATAGTAGGTAAACATTTTTTACGTTTCATCCAAAAAAAGATTTAAAAAAAGTTCAATCCCCTACACATAACTCGTACATCTCCGGGGAAAAAACCTTCTTATTTTTTTTTTTGCCCCCGAAGTCCCCCTTACCACTTTGGTAGTACTTCCCCATAGTAATTCCATACTATTTTTTTAAAAAGGTAGTTTTGTTAAAGTAAGTAGGAGGGGTCCCAACACCGGGGCAGCTGGGGGCGTAAAATGACATCCTCCTGCCCCAAAACCCCAGCTTTGGTGTGTGATGATACCTCCCCCTCACGCTACACTCAAACTGTCCTCAATTTTTTCTCCCCGTGGGCCCCTTGTCCCCGTCATCGCTGCCGCTGATACCAAGAGAGAGAGAGGGGCGCCTTATCACCAGCCTTTTCCCTTATGAATGGTCTTTTTGAGGGGAAGAAAAATGGTCTGGACGAGTGTAGTGGACATTGGTTCTGGGAAAAGTGTGGCGCGGCTCCTTGGAACAGTGTGGAGTTGCTCCTCTGGAACAGTGTGGACGTCTGGCTCCTTGGAACATTTTAACGTCTGGCTTCTGGAACTTTTGGGACGTCTGGTCCTTGGAACAGTGGACGTTTTTGGGTCCTCTGGAACATTGTGGAGTCGGTCCCCTGGAACGTGTGGACATCTGGCTCCCTTTGAAAGTTTTTTGGGCGTCTGGTCCTCTGGAACAGTTTGACGTCTTCTCCTCTGGAACATGGGACGTCTGGCTCCCCTTTGGAACATAATGAGGGAACTTCCCCTAATTAATTGTGAATGTGTGTTCCCTGTTTTTTCCTGACGGGGAACACCCTTGTACTTTTTTTATTTAATTTTTAGCGCATTTCCCCCTCATACATAGAAGTAATACAGGCCCGCTGGGGGAAACATTTAAAGAAACCTTAAATAACTGAGGGATAAGGGAAAAAGACATAAAAGAAACCTTAAGTAACGCGGAAAGGAAGAAAAATAAAAGAAACCTCTAAGGGGAACTGCAGGTATAAGGAAGAAAAAAACTAATAAGCAACTCCCCTGTCAGGAAGAAAACAAATTTCCCCAAATAATTGTACGATCAGAATAAACTTCTAAGTAACCCTTTCGACCAAAAAGAAAAAAGAGAAGGACGTCTTAGCCACCCCATATATAGTGGTTGTGGTTAAATATCTCTGCAGATAACTAAAAGGAGTAGCCCCGGAAAAAATCACTTTGTCAGACTTTTTTTGGGGGTTTTCCTAGGTAACAACCATTTTATTATAATCATGGAGCGCAAACCCTAGGGTTATACAGTGCCTGTTGTGGGGGGGGAGGGAGGTTTCAGATACTTCAGGGAACCCGAGATTGATTAAATTCCTAGATCAAAAGCCCCTTCCCGCATAAGGGAACCCCCCCTGAGGAAGGGGGGGGGGGAATCTACAAATTGGTGTGTATGATAAAATTTATATAAATTATTTTGTGACCTGTACCCAATAAACTTACACGTTAACCCCATGGTGATGCCAAACTGCACTTTTTTTTTTTCTATGAGCCTTTTGAAACCCCCCTTTTTTTGAATGATTTTCACCCAGTTGAGTTTCTTTTCTGTTTTAATTTTAAAGGGTTTTAACTTGGTGTTTTACTGTAACTTTGTCCCCTAATAGCTTACTCCCCCTGTAAATTTCTTTTATTGGATGCTTTTCATATTAAGTATTCCCGTTTTAATTTTAAATATAAAAATTTTAAGGCCCATGAAATAAGTCCTTTCTCTGTTTTTTTTAGGGTTGTCCCAGGTAATTTAACATTTTTACTACAGTGGACCCGGTTAACGATATTTTTTTCCTGAAGTATGTTAGGGGCCCGTACTGAAGAATTTTTTCCATAAGGAATATTTTGAAATAGTTTTTCCATTTAGCCCCCAACATCCCGTACAAAAAGCACTTTACATAAATTTCATTAATAATTTTTCGCTTCGGAGGTAAGTTTTGCGGGGGTCACTGTATATGTAATTGTACTTATTGTATTTCACCCAAATAAAAATTATTTATGTGATGTGGGCTCTTTATTGGGGATTGAACCTTCCTTCCTTTTTTGGTCAGACCATATTTTCTGGTGACAAAATTAAAAAGTGTCAGCAGTTTTTTATGTTATTTCCTTGCTCATTTTTTTTTTTATATGCTGCACCCTTCGAAAAATTATAATCTTTGAAAATAAAATGTTGAGAAATTGAAATTTCTCAATTATATTTTCACTGAGCTTTTCAAGCATTATGTTTCTGTTAAGTCTACATTTGTCTCTGAAAATGTTAAATTGTGTATCTCTACATAATTTGTGATATTCACTTGGTGTTTAGGTTCTGTCAGTACATTGATATTCACTAGATATTTAGTTGAAGCCAGTACATTATACAGTACAGTGCTGTACTTTAAATGACCATCATTAAGTTGTAGCTGTAACTATCAAAATGAAGGATAATGTTACTATAACATAAAAGAGAGAAGCTTACGACGACGTCGTAAGCTTCTCTCTTTTATGTGCGGGTTATTTGTGTATCGTTCCAGTCACGGTATTGTGCCTTTTTTGTTATTAATGTTACTATAACTTGTTTAAATTTTATAATGGCATACCTTCATGCAAACACATCTCCAAATTGGACATATTATCAGTGTGTGCTTGAAAATCCAACTCCATAATTTCCAGCTGCCCAAGGCTCAAATTTGAATGTACAGTATAAGTAAAATCTTGATTTAACAAACTCCATTTTAATGGGATTCAGATTTAACAGACAAAATCTGTGGTTGGACAACATTCAGAAACAATGAATAGCCTGTTAAATCCAAAATGATCTGTTATTGGTACAATTCACTGGGTAAATTGATTTTGGACTTAATGGACAAAATTCATTTAATCATAACTATCTGTTATTTGACTTAAGAAATCGTAATGACACGATTGCAAATAAACCATATCCCCGGCCGGGATTGAACCCGCGGTCATAGAGTCTCAAAACTCCAGCCCGTTAGCCTAATGGCTACGCGACGGGCTGGAGTTTTGAGACTCTATGACCCCGGGTTCAATCCCGGCCGGGGGTAGGTTTATCTGTTATTTTTCTGTTGGGAATCCAAAATTGTCCTTTATTATTGTGGTCCACGAGAAATTTTTTTTTAAAATTTTATGGACCAGCCCCAAAAAATCCAAATTTGTTTTATTGTTACAATAAAATGAAAAAAACAACTCCTTATATGAATTTTATGGACAGGAAATTTTTAATTCTTTAAAATTTAGAGGTCCGTACCTCAACGGGAAGGCCCCTAACCCAGGGGGGAGTTTTTGAAGTAGCATTCAAATCTAGATTCCCTGTCCTAAACCCCTTTACAACAGGAACCAGCCCTTTAGCACGGGCCGAAGTTTTACGACTCCTCCCACAGGTAAAACCCCCAAACCCATTCTTTTTTTTTTCGTAAGGAAATACTACACAAAAATTATTACAAAAATAAAAAGAGTAATCTTAGTCCTGACACTTCTCCAACAATTAAAAATTTTGGTTTTTTTTTAGTGTTTTTGGTCCAAGGAGTACTGCGATTTTATAGCACAATACAGTACTAGTACAGAAATCGTTTAAAAAGGGCCCCTTTTAAAAGCCTTTTAAAAACAAAAAATTACGGGGAAGAAACAATAGGGAAAATTGTAACTTTAAAGCTGTTTAGTCAAAAAGGATTTGGGTTTTTTTCCAAATTTAAAGGGGGAAATTTTTTTTAAATTTTGGCCCCCCCCTAAAATTTTTTGGGGCTTTTTGGGATGGCCTGGGTTTCAAGGGGGTTGGAAACCCCCCCACCAATTTTTGTATATATTTTGTTTAATTGGCTAAAAATTTTTTTCCTTTTTTTTATAAACAAAAGTTTAACTTTAAAAAATTAAAAATTTTAAAAACTAGTTAAATTTTTTTCCTAAACCTTATTCCTTCATTTTCCCCAGGTGCATTTACCTCTTAAGCTTTGTGAATATCCCAAAAGAAAAAAATTAAATTTTCAAATTCTTTTTCCCTTTTTTAAGGGAAAAAAACCCCTTTAAATTAAAAGTTGGTTTTAATGGGGGGGGAAAATTTCCCATGTGGAGATTTTTTACTCGTGAAATGATAAAATTTTTTAAATTGAGTTTTTTAGAAATTTTCCCAAAAATCAAAAAAAATTAGAAATAAAGATTTTTTCCGGTTTTTTTTTTTCGCATTGATTTTATTTAAAAATTTTTCTAAAAAGAATTTTGAGCATTAAAAAAGGGGTTAGTTTAGATTTAAATTTTTTTCCCCCGGGAAAAGGGTCACTTTTTTTCCCCCTTATCCTTTATTTAAATTTTTTTTGTATAAAAATTTAAAAATTTAAAAATTTTTTTCTGGTTTTCAATTGAGTTTTTTTTCCCCCCCTTACCCGTGTAGTGCACCCCTGCTTTTCATTGGGGGATGTTGAAATCGTGTGCCAAGTCTTTTGCTTTCGTAGTGAGTGATTTTCGTGTGCAAGTTCGGTACTAGTCCCTCTAGGATTTTCCAGGTGTATATAATCATGTACCCTCTCCCGCCTGCATTCCAGGGAATACAGTTCAGGAACCTCAAGCGCCCCCAGTAATTGAGGTGTTTTATCTCCGTTATGCGCGCCGTGAAGGTTCTCTGTACATTTTCTAGGTCAGCAATTTCACCTGCCTTAAAAGGGTGCTGTTAGTGTGCAGCAATATTCCAGCCTAGATAGAAACAAGTGACCTGAAGAGTGTCATCATGGGCTTGGCATCCCTCGTTTTAAAGGTTCTCATTATCCATCCTGTCATTTTCTAGCAGATGCAATCGATACAATGTTATGGTCCTTGAAGGTGAGATCCTCCGACATGATCACTCCCAGGTCTTTGACGTTGGTGTTTCGCTCTATTTTGTGGCCAGAATTTGTTTTGTACTCTGATGAAGATTTGATTTCCTCGTGTTTACCATATCTGAGTAATTGAAATTTCTCATCGTTGAACTTCATATTGTTTTCTGCAGCCCACTGAAAGATTTGGTTGATGTCCGCCTGGAGCCTTGCAGTGTCTGCAATGGAAGACACTGTCATGCAGATTCGGGTGTCATCTGCAAAGGAAGACATGGTGCAGTGGCTGACATCCTTGTCTATGTCAGATATGAGGATGAGGAACAAGATGGGAGCGAGTACTGTGCCTTGTGGAACAGAGCTTTTCACCGTGCCTGCCTCAGACTTTACTCTGTTGACTACTACTCTCTGTGTTCTGTTAGTGAGGAAATTATAGATCCATCGACCAACTTTTCCTGTTATTCCTTTAGCACGCATTTTGTGCGCTATTACGCCATGGTCACACTTGTCGAAGGCTTTTGCAAAGTCTGTATATATTACATCTGCATTCTTTTTGTCTTCTAGTGCATCTAGGACCTTGTCGTAGTGATCCAATAGTTGAGGCAGACAGGAGCGACCTGTTCTAAACCCATGTTGCCCTGGGTTGTGTAACTGATGGGTTTCTAGATGGGTGGTGATCTTGCTTCTTAGGACTCTTTCAAAGATTTTTATGATATGGGATGTTAGTGCTATCGGTCTGTAGTTCTTTGCTGTTGCTTTACTGCCCCCTTTGTGGAGTGGGGCTATGTCTGTTGTTTTTAGTAACAGAACTACAGTATTAAAATAAGGTGACTTAGTATAAAAGCTAGAAAAAGCAGTCTTCATAACAATGAATATACAAGAACAGTGTAAGAAACTTAATAGGGAAATCTTCAGTACTTTTGAACAGCATATGTTTAGTCTAAGATTGTATTGCTGTATTATATTTTTCCAGATTACAAGAAGGAATCTCTTTCATAAATGCTATAGACATCAACAAGCTTAATGGATTATTGGGTCGTGTTTCTGCTGCGCTGTGCTCTGGATGCTCACAGGTTCGGATAAGTTCCATTCATACACAATTACAGTAATGTATCTTAAATTATTGTTATATATGCTCTATAAGAATGCCTTTGACCTGTTGATTTATAAGACAAGATTGTTTAACTGATTGATTAAACTAAAAATTATATATATCTGAAGAACTGAGTTCACCCTTCCCTTCCTCAGATCAAACTTGATTACCTTCATTCCTCAGGTGCTATATAACTTCTATAAGTTCAAGACTTTCCTGTGAATATACCTTCAAAAGAATTTCTTTCTTTCTTTCAACACACCGGCCGTATCCCACCAAGGCAGGGTGGCCCAAAAGAAAAAACCAAAGTTTCTCCTTTCAAATTTAGTAATATAACAGGAGAAGGGTTACTAGCCCCTTGCTCCCGGCATTTTAGTCGCCTCTTACAACACGCATGGCTTACGGAGGAAGAATTCTGTTCCACTTCCCCATGGAGATAAGAGGAAATAAACAAGAACAAGAACTAGAAAGAAAATCGAAGAAAACCCAGAGGGGTATGTATATATATGCTTGTACATGTATGTGTAGTGTGACCTGAGTGTAAGTAGAAGTAGCAAGACGTACCTGAAATTTTGCATGTTCATGAGACAAAAAAAAGGACACCAGCAATCCTACCATCATGTAAAACAATTACAGGCTTTCGTGTTACACTCACTTGGCAGGACGGTAGTACCTCCCTGGGCGGTTGCTGTCTACCAACCTACTACCTAGGTTCAAAAGAATTTATCTATATATATTTGCAACAGTATCTTCAATTCCTTTCCATTGTAAAAAGAAGTATGGCATACATGTAAGCAAGTTATAAATATATTAGAATATTGAAATTGAAGTGAACACCTACTTCCACAGTACTGTGTGAGAGTTTGTCACTACAGTGTAAACTGACTAAGATTTTTTAAAATTATGAGGTTTGATCTCAGACAGTTCACCAGGAATTCTTCAAAAATAAATTAGAATATAAAATGATGTGCTATGCCAGGTATTTTTAATTTTCAGACTATTGATGTTTTATTATTAAAATCTATTACTAAAATATGAGATTATCAGCTGCAGCATGTAGAAAATTGACTGTGCTGAGGATTGATGTTTTCCTATTTAATATCTTCTCTCCACTTGAAGGATATTCCTTACTTTTCATTTTGCCAGAAGAGTATCCTTTATTAACTTTCATTTGTATATAATAAATATGATTGGTAAAAATTTGTTGAGTTATGCATCTGGTTCCTCGAACTTTGATGTTTACCTAGTTCTTTCCAACAAAAATTTTGTTGATAATTTTTTATGTGGATATTTATTATGAAGAAATAAATAAATAAACACTAGAATATAAATATCTTAAGGAAAAGAACTAATTAGGTTGCATACACACAGGTCTTTACTGAGGAAGAAGAGGAGAAATTAAGTTCTTCATTGGGCCACACTATTGAGCAAACAAGACAACTCGTCCACACTGTACTGCATATTATTCAGCAGGTAGATATATTTTTATGGCTAAAGCCGTAGTAAATTGTGCACATGTCAGGGTAACTGCATATACAGACCTCATTTCAGGCCCCTTTCAAGGAAGGATGGAGAGGGAAAATGGAACTACTGTATATCTCTGGGTGCTGTATGATCCATAGGGCTCTCCCATGAAAATAATAACTATTAGTAGGTTGGTAGACAGCAACCACCCAGGGAAGTACTACCGTCCTGCCAGATGACTGTGAAACAAAAACCTGTAATTGTTTTGCATGATGGTAGGATTGCTGGTTTCTTTTTCTGTCTCATAAACACGCTAAGATAACAGGGTTATCTTGCTACTCCTACTTACACTTTGGTCACACTTCACAGACACGCACATGCATATATATATATACATACATCTAGGTTTTTCTCCTTTTTCTAAATAGCTCTTGTTCTTTTTTATTTCTTCTATTGTCCATGGGGAAGTGGAAAAGAATCTTTCCTCCGTAAGCCATGCGTGTCGTATGAGGCGACTAAAATGCCGGGAGCAATGGGCTAGTAACCCCTTCTCCTGTATACAATTACTAAAAAAGAGAAGAAGAAAAACTTTATAAAACTGGGTTGCTTAAATGTGCGTGGATGTAGTGCGGATGACAAGAAACAGATGATTGCTGATGTATGAATGAAAAGAAGTTGGATGTCCTGGCCCTAAGCGAAACAAAGCTGAAGGGGGTAGGAGAGTTTCAGTGGGGGGAAATAAATGGGATTAAATCTGGAGTATCTGAGAGAGTTAGAGCAAAGGAAGGGTAGCAGTAATGTTAAATGATCAGTTATGGAAGGAGAAAAGAGAATATGAATGTGTAAATTCAAGAATTATGTGGATTAAAGTAAAGGTTGGATGCGAGAAGTGGGTCATAATAAGCGTGTATGCACCTGGAGAAGAGAGGAATGCAGAGGAGAGAGAGAGATTTTGGGAGATGTTAAGTGAATGTATAGGAGCCTTTGAACCAGTGAGAGAGTAATTGTGGTAGGGGACTTGAATGCTAAAGTAGGAGAACTTTTAGAGAGGGTGTGGTAGGTAAGTTTGGGGTGCCAGGTGTAAATGATAATGGGAGCCCTTTGATTGAACTTTGTATAGAAAGGGGTTTAGTTATAGGTAATACATATTTTAAGAAAGAGGATAAATAAGTATACACGATATGATGTAGGGCGAAATGACAGTAGTTTGTTGGATTATGTATTGGTAGATAAAAGACTGTTGAGTAGACTTCAGGATGTACATGTTTATAGAGGGGCCACAGATATATCAGATCACTTTCTAGTTGTAGCTACACTGAGAGTAAAAGGTAGATGGGATACAAGGAGAATAGAAGCATCAGGGAAGAGAGAGGTGAAGGTTTATAAAATAAAAGAGGAGGCAGTTAGGGTAAGATATAAACAGCTATTGGAGGATAGATGGGCTAATGAGAGCATAGGCAATGGGGTCGAAGAGGTATGGGGTAGGTTTAAAAATGTAGTGTTAGAGTGTTCAGCAGAAGTTTGTGGTTACAGGAAAGTGGGTGCAGGAGGGAAGAGGAGCGATTGGTGGAATGATGATGTAAAGAGAGTAGTAAGGGAGAAAAAGTTAGCATATGAGAAGTTTTTACAAAGTAGAAGTGATGCAAGGAGGGAAGAGTATATGGAGAAAAATGAGAGAAGTTAAGAGAGTGGTGAAGCAATGTAAAAAGAGAGCAAATGAGAGAGTGGGTGAGATGTTATCAACAAATTTTGTTGAAAATAAGAAAAAGTTTTGGAGTGAGATTAACAAGTTAAGAAAGCCTAGAGAACAAATGGATTTGTCAGTTAAAAATAGGAGAGGAGAGTTATTAAATGGAGAGTTAGAGGTATTGGGGAAAATGGAAGGGAATATTTTGAGGAATTGTTAAATGTTGATGAGATAGGGAAGCTGTGATTTCGTGTATAGGGCAAGGAGGAATAAAAATCTTGTAGGAGTGAGGAAGAGCCAGTTGTGAGTGTGGGGAAGTTCGTGAGGCAGTAGGTAAAATGAAAGGGGGTAAGGCAGCCGGGATTGATGGGATAAGATAGAAATGTTAAAAGCAGGTGGGGATAATAGTTTTGGAGTGGTTGGTGCAATTTTTAATAAATGTTGGAAGAGGGTAAGGTACCTAGGGATTGGCAGAGAGCATGCATAGTTCCTTTGTATAAAGGCAAAGGGGTAAAAGAGAGTGCAAAAATTATAGGGGGATAAGTCTGTTGAGTGTACCTTTGGGAAAGTGTATGGTAGAGTTATAATTGAAAGAATTAAGAGTAAGACGGGGAATAGGATAGCAGATGAACAAGGAGGCTTTAGGGAAAGGTAGGGGGGGTGTGGACCAGGTGTTTACAGTGAAACATATAAGTGAACAGTATTTAGATAAGGCTAAAGAGGTCTTTGTGGCATTTATGGGTTTGGAAAAGGCGTATGACAGGGTGGATAGGGGGGCAATGTGGCAGATGTTGCAAGTGTATGGTGTAGGAGGTAGGTTACTGAAAGCAGTGAAGAGTTTTTACGAGGATAGTGAGGCTCAAGTTAAGTATTAGGGAAAGAGGGAAATTTTTTCCCAGTAAAGTAGGCCTTAGACAAGGATGTGTGATGTCACCGTGGTTGTTTAATATATTTATAGATGGGGTTGTAAGAGAAGTAAATGGAGGGTCTTGGCAAGAGGCGTGGAGTTAAAAGATAAGAATCACACACAAAGTGGGAGTTGTCACAGCTGCTCTTTGCTGATGACACTGTGCTCTTGGGAGATTCGAAGAGAAGTTGCAGAGATTGGTGGATGAATTTGGTAGGGTGTGAAAAAGAAGAAAAATTAAAGGTGAATACAGGAAAGAGAAAGGGTTATGAGGATAACAAAAAGATTAGGTGATGAAAGATTGATATCAGATTGGAGGGAGAGAGTATGGAGGAGGTGAACGTATTCAGATATTTGGGAGTGGACGTGTCAGCGGATGGGTCTATGAAAGATGAGGTGAATCAAGAATTGATGAGGGAAAAAGAGTGAGGTGCACTTAGGAGCCCTGTGGAGACAAAGAACTTTGTCCTTGGAGGCAAAGAGGGGAATGTATGAGAGTATAGTTTTACCAACCTCTTATATGGGTGTGAAAGCGTGGGTGATGAATGTTGCAGCGAGGAGAAGGCTGGAGGCAGTGGAGATGTCATGTCTGAGGGCAATGTGTGGTGTGAATATAATGCAGAGAATTCGTAGTTTGGAAGTTAGGAGAGGTGGGGGATTACCAAAACTGTTGCCCAGAGGGCTGAGGAAGGGTTGTTGAGGTGGTTTTGGACATGTAGAGAGAATGGAGCGAAACAGAATGACTTCAAGAGTGTATCAGTCTGTAGTGGAAGGAAGGCGGGTAGGGGTCGGCCTAGGAAGGGTTTTGGGGGGAAGGGTAAGGAGGTTTTGGTGCGAGGGGCTTGGACTTCCAGCAGGCATGCGTGAGCGTGTTGATAGGAGTGAATGGAGACAAATGGTTTTTAATACTTGACGTGCTGTTGGAGTGTGAGCAAAGTAACATTTATGAAGGGATTCAGGGAAACCGGCAGGCCGGACTTGAGTCCTGGAGATGGGAAGTACAGTGCCTGCACTCTGAAGGGGGGGTGTTAATGTTGCAGTTTAAAAACTGTAGTGTAAAGCACCCTTCTGGCAAGACAGTGATGGAGTGAATGATGGTGAAAGTTTTTCTTTTTCGGGCCACCCTGCCTTGGTGGGAATCGGCCGGTGTGATAATAAAAAATAAAAATAGTTTCAGACAATATCTTCAATGTCCTGAAATTGGCCAGTCTGATTTCTAACTAACTCGACTTTACTACAATAACTGTAACCTTCCTGTCTCCCTCTCCAGTTTCACCTGAATCCATTCATAAATGTTACCCTCCTCATACTCCAACAGCACGTCAAATCATAACAACCACTTGCCTCCACTCGCTCCTGTCTAACACGCTCACACAATCCTGATGGATGTCCAAGCTCCTAGCACTCAAAAATCTCCTTTACCTCCTCCCTCCAGCCTTTCCTAGGATGACCCTTACCCCTCCCTCCCTCCACTCCAGATTTATACACCTTCCTAGTCATCCTAATTTTCTCCATCCTCTCTAAATATCCAAATTTAGTAATGCTCTTTGTATAAATGTCTTAAAATAACAAACAACATTGTACTTTTGTAAATTTAAAACAAAAAGCCACTTTGCCTTTTTAACCCTTTCAGGGTCTACAGGCCCTCTCTCAGACTTATTCTCAGGGTCGACAGATTTTAAAAAAAAAAATTATTTTTCTTATGAAAAGATGGAGAATATTTTCCCGATCATAATGACACCAAAAGTATGAAATTTGATGGAAAACTTACGGAATTATGCTCTCACAAATTTAGCGGTCTCGACAATGTTTACGCATCAGCAATTTTGCCCACTTTGAGCCCTATTTTCGGCCAATTCCAGTGTACTAGTCGACAAAAATCATAACTATTTCGCTAGAACTCCATTTTTTCTATCGAATGAGTACAAGAAACCACCCATTTACCGATTTCAACTATCCAATAAAGTGGTCAGAATTTAGCAATTTTGCCAATTTCACACAAATTTCAAAAGATGCCAATTTCCAAATAGGGTCCAAAATAAACAAGAAAGACATTCCTGGCACTAAAATAACATTTCCTCTGTTCATTAGTCACATCCCCAGGCCCCTCTTACATTCTTTTGCTTTCCACTTTGAATTTTTATTCTCACAAAAAATAGAAGATTTACTGTTATGCAGACTACTGCATTAATGTAGAAATGGTATAAATAATATCAGCGCACTTGTGAAAGAATATTAAGACTTACCAGTTGACGTGTATTGGACGTATGATTTGTTTACTTTTGAACTTTGGCAAAAATCAAAGATTTCTGCTACTTTGAGCTCAATTTCAAGGTACTTTTCATTGTAAAACCAATCAAAATTGTCTCATTTCTGTAATATGTCTTCCATTCTATAAAATGAGACCAGGAAAACTAGAATACCATCATAAATACCATACAAAAATACAGTGCAAAGTCGCTGTTTTAAACCAAAAACACTGTCAGAGTTTTTTTTTTCTCATTATGCACTGTGTGCTGCAGGATTCTTTTTTATACTGCGCACGCTGACCACATAGACTCATTCTTTCATATGTAGGCCTACCAGATTTCTCTCACTAGATTTGAGGGCGCTAGAATTTAGGCGTACTAGTACGTCAAAAACCCTGGTGCGTAAGCCATACTAGTACGTCAGAAACCCTGAAAGGGTTAATTGCTTGTTTGTGATTGGTTGCATTTATGTCGATATGTATGAAGATAACGTGAAAATGTTACGCAATGTAAAAAATGAAAATAGCTGTCAAACCCTGCAGTGTTTTGTAATAAAACTGAACAAATGGAATGACATAGGTTGCTGAATTTAAACATAATTTTTTTAACACATCGCCCATCTCCCACCAAGGAAGGGTGACCCGAAAAAGAACTTTATAAAGCTTTTTTTATACATTTAGTAATTTATACATGAGAAGGAGTTACTAGCCTCTTGCTCCCAACATTTTAGTCGCCGCTTACGACATGCACGTCTTACGGGAAAAGGATTTTTTCCACTTCCCCATGGAGATGAAAGGTAATAAATAAAAATAAAAACTATTGCGAAAATAGAAGAAAACACAGATGGGTGTGTATACATATGTGGGTACTAAGTGTATACTAAAGTAGCAAGATTTACTTGTTATCATGTGTGTTTGTGACAGAAAGAAGAAGACCCAGCAATCCTACCATCATGTAAAATAATGACAGGTTTCCATTTCACACTCATTTGGTAGGACAGTAGTACCTCCCTGGGTGGTTGCTGTCTACCAACTTACTACCTACCTTAAACATAAATATTTTCAACAAACCGGCCGTATCCCACCAAGGCAGGGTGGCCCAAAAAGAGAAACAAAAGTTTCTCTCTTTTAATTTAGTAATTTATACAAGAGAAGGGGTTACTAGCCCTTTGCTCCCGGCATTTTAGTCACCTCTTACAACATGCATGGCTTACGGAGGAAGAATTCTGTTCCACTTCCCCATGGAGGTAAGAGGAAATAAACAAGAACAAGAACCTGAAAGAAAATAGAAGAAAACCCAGAGGGGTGTATATATATATGCTTGTACATGTATGTGTAGTGTGATCTAAGTGTAATTAGAAGTAGCAAGACGTACCTGAAATCTTTCATGTTTATGAGACAGACAAAGGACACCAGCAATCCCATCATGTAAAATAATTACAGGCTTTCATTTTACACTCGCTTGTCAGAACAGTAGTACCTCCCTGGGTTGTTGCTGTCTACCAACCTACTACCTATAAAACATAAATATGTATTGTATTAAAAATAAAGCATATAGATTCAGTCATAAAATCTTAAAGCGAGTCATTTTACCATAGAAATCCCTATTCTAAAACTACTACGTGTTCATTTTTTATCATGTCCCTTTCAATTATCACTTGGCAATACGTGATATATTTTTGTACCCTCAGGCTGCACAAGGTATGGTACGTCCAGCTGTCTTGGGGGAACATCTTTTAGCTGCTGGCATTACCCAGGACAGAGTGGAAATCTTCACAGAAAGCTGGATGACAAACGCAAAGACCATTGTTGATAAGCTTCGGCAGCAGACCCTTTCAGAAAAGCAGGTGTGTTATTGCAGTCCAACATCTGTGGAAATAAGTTCAGTAAAAAGACAGTGTATGGGTTCAGCATTAAGGTGAGATAGATTTCTTTGGCTCTAGATTATATTTTTACTTGCATGCAGACTTCATGAAAATGTTTTTCTAATTACACACAATACTTTATATGATAAGACACCATGGAAAAGGGGAAACCTTTATTAAAAAATCCACTTCTTCAAATTTATAAGAGCATGGAAAAACTTATAGCTGATGGGACCCTAGGCTCATGTGTTCCTCAGCCCACACCTCATAGTTTCTAGTTGTATGAGTGGTTGATTTATCCACACTGTACTCACAGGCAGTTTCTTTCACACATGCACTGTAAGTATATGTGATACACATATCAAATACTGTATTTTTTCTGAACACCACCATATTCATGCTTATTCTTCTTAGCGCCTTCACCCTGTGTTTATAGCTTGATCAACACAGGGTGAGGCACAAGACACTCCCAGGTGACTAGATTGCATCACCTGTGTACTACTGACCAATATTTTTGGTACAGCAGATCATGGATGGTTTTGTAATCTGGCAAACTACTGGAGTTGCATGGAAGTCTGTACATTATTGCCCCATTTTATTAGTATTATTAATACTGCTTACAGGTAGGTAATATTAATGAAATATTTTTAAGCCCTGGTCAAATTCATTAAAGAAAAACATGTTCAACAGCTGGAAGATATCGCCTGGGAGTTGCACTTGGAAACAGCTTCATCGTGCCTGGCTCGGCAGTCACACCCCATAGCCCACCTGCAGCTGAATCTCGTGTAAGTGTAATAATGCCTTGCTGGTTTTTGGTTGGCATCTCACAATCGGTATAAATATCAATATTCTTTTGCACTTGGAAAAATAAGGCACTAAGTGCAACATCGCATTATGCTGCATTGTGTCCATTTCCATTGTGTTGTTATTTTATACCATTTCTCTCTATTCTTTTGTGGTTCTTGAAGGTAGTTTAATGGTAAGTTATACATAGATGCAAATTAGCTAGTTTCCATAGTTCATAAACTTGAACTTTTAGGATTCCAAGCAATAACTAGTGACTGCCTCTTCTGATTGGCTTCAGACTTTCAGTGATAGTCGATTTTACTCCAAGGAAGGTTTACAGTGATCTGAGTTTGTGTAAATTTTACTTTAACAAATTTATTAAATATTGGTTTTCATGCAGTAACTGAAAAATGCCTCTTCTGGTTAGCTTCAAACCCTAAACACTAGTACATTATAATTAGATCATTTTTTTTTATTGATATTAGGCTGTGGAGATGCCAAATTCAAATTTTATTGAAGAAAATATGAAATTTAAATACTGGTTTATGTACAATGTTTTGTGAATGCTTGATCTGGTTTCCTTTAAACACTGATATATCATTCTTAGAGAAATTTCGGATTGTGTAGGTGCCAATTTACTTCTGCCTGTCAGCTATCCTGTCTGCTAGCTTGTAGGAGATGCAGTATTCAAATTCCTTTTTTTTTTTTAAATCGAGTATTTTCCTTATGGGACCATAGAGAATTTTAAAAGAAAATAAATAAAGGAAAAATGAGAAATATTGAAACTCTCATTTTTATTTATTTATTTTTTTTTTGGGGGGGGGAGAGGTAAGGAGAGACATTTTTAAGTTTCACTAGTTTAGCAAGCCCTTACAGAAGTTTTAAATTTCTCAGCTCATGTGGCAAGATGAATACTTGTGAAAGTAGTTACCAAAAAAATAATTAATATTATAATAAAATCTATGGGAGACTGCATCTGGAACAGATAGAGCTGCCAACTCTAGCTTTGGCTCTCAGAAGTATTGACAGATTGCACATTTCTATATCTAAATTCTTTAATACACACAGTGGACGCTCGGTTATCGGCTGTAATCCATTCCAGAAGCTCGGCCTAAAACTGAAATAATATTTCCCATAAGAATTAATGTAATTACAATTAATCCGTTCCAGACACCCAAAAATATTAACAAAAAATACATTTTTTAAAGATTATTATAGTTTTACATACACAAAACAATGAGAGCTAAATAAAATAAATAAATGGGCCTTTAAATCACTATTACATACCTTTATTGAAGACTCTTGTTGGCTAATGGAAGACAGACAGGGAGGAGGAGAGAGGGAGGACTGATTATTGTTTGGAAGGGGAATCCCCCATTACAAGGATTTCAGGTATCAAAACCCTCTCTGGGATTACATCCCTTCTTTGTCTTTTACTGCCAATAGAACCAGCTTGAGAGTCACTGCACACCTGTCACACAAAAAAACTGTCCAGAGAGGTCTGTTTCTGGCATCTCTTAAAGATTTCCCTGAAGTGGGACAAGGTTTTGACACTGAACATGTTGCAGATATGGCTTGTTTCAGTTAGGTCCGGGTGATATTTCTCCACAAAAGTTTGCACCTCATTTCACCTTGTACAAATGTCCTTAATCACTGAAGAAGGCACATTCTCCCCTCTCTCTTCCTCCTCCTCTGAGGCAATTTCTTCAGCTGTGGTCTGTTGCTGTTCCAGATGAAGGTCTTGCAGCTCTTCAGTGATTAACTCTTCCCTGTGGTCCTCCACCAACTCTTCCACATCCTCACTACTAACTTCCAACCCCTTGGACTTCCCCAAAGACACAATACATTCCACAACAGGAGTAGGGTCCTCAGGGTCAGCCCCAAACCCTTCAAAATCCTTGTCGAGTTCTAAGTCTTGGAAGTCACTCCCTGCCAAGCCTTACCTATAAGGCTTATGCAGTGGAGAATATTGAAGTGATTCCTCCAGAACTCTGAGGGTCAAGTCAGCGTCCGAGGTCACTTCAAAGCACCTTTGAAACACTGCTGTCGTGTAGAGTTTTTTGAAGTTAGAAATGACCTGCTAGTCCATGGGCTGGATGAGAGGAGTGGTGTTAGGAGGCAAGAACTTCACCATTATAAAACTGAATTCACTAAACAATTGATTTTCCAAGTCTGGAGGATGAGCAGGAGCATTGTCCAGTACCAAGAGGCACTTGAGTGGTAATTTATTTTCCAGGAGGTATTTTTCACACTTGGGCCATACACATCATGGACCCACTCTTTGAAAATTTGCCTCGTGACCCACATCACACACAATTTACTCTTGACAATATTGTTTTTCTTGAACATTATGGGATTTTCAGGGTGATACACCAGTAAAGGCTTCACTTTGAAATCGCCACTAGCGTTACCACAGAACAAGAGAGTGAGCCTGTCATTCATAGGCTTGTGTCCTGGCAGTGCCTTTTCCTCCTGCATGATGTAGGTCCTCTTTGGTATTTTCTTCCAAAAGAGGCCTGTTTTGTCACAGTTGAACATTTGTTGGGGGAGGAATCCTTTAGCTTCTTGAATTCATGCACAAATTTTTCAGCCACACATTTGTCAGAATTTGCAGCCTCACCATGCCTTACAACACTGTATGCTGCTATGTTTCCTAAATCTCTCAAAGCAGCCTTTGCTGGCCTTAAATTCACTAACAGCAGCACTTGTTCCAGGCATTTTCTTTACGAGATCCGCATGCAACTGCCTTGCCTTTTCACAAATGATTGACTCCACAACACTATCTCCCGCTAATTGTTTTTCGGTGATCCACAAGAACAATAACTTCTCTATATCTTCCATTATTGGTGACTTTTGTTTAATTAGAACATTTACTCCTTTCCCAACATTAGCTTCCTTGATTTCTACTTTCTTTGCCAGGATGAAAGTGATTGTTGATTTGGATTTCCCATACATCCTAGCAAGTTCCAGCACCTGCACACCACTCTTATATTTTTCAGTAACTTCTTTCTTAAATTCCAATGCTTTTCTCACTTTTTTTACCAAAGGAACTTTACTAGGAACTTTCTTTGGGCCTATGGTTGCTTATTTCACAGTTGCACTCAATCAAAAACCACAAAAAAATGAATTATAGCGAAATGTTTGGATGAATGAGCAGAAGTTTCCTCACTCGCCCAGAGACACAGCCACACTGACTCATGAATGCGCGAGTGGCTTGCGGGCGGGCGGGTGGACCCGTCCAATACGGCTGATTAGCGAAATAACGGCCGATAACCGGAATAAAATTTCGGCCAAAAACAACGGGCAGTAACTGAGTTGGCCGATATCCAGGACAGCCTATAACTGAGGATCCACTGTATCTGAATTGTATGTACAACTTTTTATTTTTTATGATCTATGCATGAGGGGCAAACATTTGTCATGTTTAGATTCTTATACTCCACATGCTACGATGGAAGCAAAGCCAAAATCAGCAAGAGATTGAGGGAGGGATTCACCCCTACCTCCTGTTGACTCTGGCATGGATACCCAGCAATATTGTCACAACACAGATTTCTTTTTCAAACTTTCCATTGCATATCAGAATTGCTTGTGTAACATTTATTTTGTATGATCTATGCATAAGAGGCTGATAAAATCATGTTTAATTTGGAGGAAAGTAAGGAGTTGGCTACACCACACACTTTGGCTGAAGTGAAGCCAAAGTCATCAAGGGATTAGTATGCCTTTACCTATGATCTGTACTGTCCAAATTCTGCCTGAACTGCATTGCATTATGCTGTATTATGGGCTTTTCCATGTATAATAAAACAGTATACAAGCATACCTTGTTAATACAGCGCTTGCTCTAGAGTGCGTCATTAATACATCGCTTTTCAGTTATTTTTTCTTTTCTTTTTTTTTTAAACAAGTCGGCCATCTCCCATCAAGGCAAGGTGACCCAAAAAGAAAGGAAATCCCCAAAAAGAAAATACTTTCATCATCATTCAACACTTTCACCTCACTCACTGTTTTTGCAGAGGTGCTCAGAATACAATAGTTTAGAAGCATATACATATAAAGATACACAACATATTCCTCCAAACTGCCAATATCCCAAACTCCTCCTTTAAAGTGCAGGCATTGTACAGTGGACCCCCGGTTAACGAACTTTTTTTCATTCCAGTAGTATGTTCAGGTGCCAGTACTGACCGAATTGTTTCCCATAAGGAATATTGTGAAGTAGATTAGTCCATTTCAGACCCCCAAACATACACGTACAAACGCACTTACATAAATACACTTACATAATTGGTCGCATTTGGAGGTGATCGTTAAGCGGGGGTCCACTGTACTTCCCAATTCCAGGACTCAAGTCTGGCTATGTAAAAATAACCGGTTTCCCTGAATCCCTTCACTAATTATTACCCTGCTCGCACTCCAACAGCTCGTCAGGTCCCAAATACCATTCGTCTCCATTCACTCCTATCTAACACGCTCACGCACACTTGCTGGAAGTCCAAGCCCCTCGCCCACAAAACCTCCTTTACACCCTCCCTCCAACCTTTTCGAGGATGACTCACCCCGCCTTCCTTCCCCTACAGATTTATACGCTCTTTACGTCATTCTACTTTGATCCATTCTCTCTAAATAACCAAACCACCTCAACAACCCCTCTTCAGCCCTCTGACTAATACTTTTATTAACTCCACACCTTTTCTTAATTTCCACACTCTGAATTTTCTGCATAATATTTACACCACACATTGCCCTTAGACAGGACGTCTCCACTGCCTCCAACTGCCTCCTCGCTGCAGCATTTACAACCCAAGCTTCACACCCAAATAAGAGTGTTGGTACTACTATACTTTCATACATTCCCTTCTTTGCCTCCATAGATAACGTTTTTTGTCTCCACATATACCTAAACGCCCCACTCACCTTTTTTCTTTCATCAGTTCTATGATTAACCTCATCCGCTGACACATCAACTCCCAAATACACCTACCATCTGACTTACGACCTGCTCGACATACGACCACTCGACTTACGACCATGTTTTGTATGCCAAATTTCTGGGAAATAAACAACTGTTTGTGTTGCACACAGTCTTTATCCTAAACCTTACAGTATAAAATACAGCACTAACAGCATAAAAAGTAAAGTAAAATATGAAATACCAAAATAAAACAATAAGATAGTCATCACAAAAATGTTATGTTGATATTCAGTAGTAAGGTTCGACTTATGTCCATTTCGACTTATGACCAGTTGGTCAGAACCAAGCTTGGTCGTAAGTCAGATGGTACCTGTATCTGAAAACATTTACTTCTTCCATACTCCCCCTCCCTAATTTGATATCCAATTTTTCTTTATCTAAATCATTTGATACCCTCATCACCTTACTCTTTTCTATGTTCACTTTCAACTTTCTACCTTTACACACACTCCCAAACTCGCCCACTAACCTTTGCAATTTTTCTTTAGAATCTCCCATAAGCACAGTATCATCAGCAAAAAGTAACTGTGCCAGTTCCCATTTTGTATTTGATTCCCTGTAATTTAATCCCACCCCTCTCCCGAACACCCTAGCATTTACTTCTTTTACAACCACATCTATAAATACAGTGGACCCCCGCTTTACGATCAGCTCCCAACGCGACCAATTATGTAAGTGTATTTATGTAAGTGCGTTTGTACGTGTATGTTTGGGGGTCTGAAATGGACTAATCTAATTCACAATATTCCTTATGGGAACAAATTCGGTCAGTACTGGCACCTGAACATACTTCTGGAATGAAATAATATCATAAACCGGGGGTCCACTGTATATTAAACATCCATGTTGACATTACACATCCCTGTCTAAGACCTACTTTTACCAGGAAGTAGTCTCCCTCTCTTCTACACACCCTAACCTGAACCTCACTATCCTCATAAAAACTCTTTACAGCATTTAGTAACTTACCACCTATTCCATATACTTTCAACATCTGCCACATTGCTCCCCTGTTCACTCTATCATATGCCTTTTCTAAATCCATAAATGCAATAAAAAATTGCCTAACTTTATCTAAATACTGTTCTCATATATGCTTCAATGTAAACACTTGATCTACACATCCCCTACCCACTCTAAAACCTCTTTGCTCATCTGCAATCCTACATTCTGTCTTACTTCTAATTCTTTCAATAATAACCCTACTATACACTTTTCCTGGTATACTCAGTAAACTTATTCCTCTATACTTTTTACAATCTCTTTTGTCCCCCTTCCCTTTATATAAAGGGACTCTCTGCCAATCCCTAGGTACCTTCCCCTCTTTCATACATTTTTTTTTTTTTCAACAAGTCGGCCGTCTCTCACTGAGGGAGGGTGACCCAAAAAAGAAAGAAAATCCCCAAAAAGAAAATGCTTTCATCATCATTCAACACTTTCACCACACTCACACATAATCACTGTTTTTGCAGAGGTGCTCAGAATACAACAGTTTAGAAGCATATACGTATAAAGATACACAACATATCCCTCCAAACTGCCAATATCATTTATCATACATTTATTAAGCAAAAATACCAACCACTCCCTCTCAGAGGCGTTGGTAGAGTTGGTGTCACCCGGGGCGGAATCTCACGTGTCACCCAGGGTGGCATCTTTGGTGTCACCCCCATGATATTCAAGGGTAGGGGGATGGGGGGTAAACTCCAGTTATGTCACTACTGCATGACCAGTGACTAATGTTTAGCAATGAGAATGTTTAAGGGCCATAAACCAAACAGGAGAATACTTCTCAACTTTATTAATGATAAAATAAATAATCGTAGTAATATTGAGGAAACATAAACTCAAATACCACTTTGAGTACAGGCAACAGATCATACATTTATTCATCTTCGACAATGCAAAAACAAAAAAAAAAAAACTTGGAAAAATAAAGAAAAACATTGTAATATCAGAGAAACACTTGTTCCGATTTGACCTTTGAGTACAGGTAACATCTCAGTGAATCTGATCTTACATTCTTTTGCCTTCAGTTATGCAAAAATCTTTTATCACATCATCAAAATCAATGATTTTCCCTTTATAGGCTTATTTGTACTCTGTAATCCTATTACAGTGTATAGGCTATATAGAAACGAAGGATTCTTCTCTTATGTTAGTGCAGCACTGTTTTGTGCATTAGTGTCACCTTCTTTAGAGGCTCTATGGTGTCACCCCCTAAATAGTGTCACCCGGGGCAGCCCCCCCTTACGATGCCTCTGCTCCCCCTGCTTTTAACATTTATGTCATGATCCTGTCAAGTAAAAGGACACAAGTGCAACTAATGTGACATTTATTGTGGCAACGTTTCACTCTCCAGGAGCTTTATCAAGCCATTACAAACAATACGCGGACACAGAGGGTATATAAAGGCTCAGAGTGAGGTGCAATACTAGTGAGGTACTATTTCGATGTTCACTAGTGATCAAAGAAACTAATTTCCACAGACGAAAGTGCCTCGAATCAGCACTGATCGCTGTTTCAAATACAATTAAACAAAACAATGGCAGCTTCACCATCTCCAAAGTCTTAGCAAGAATCCTCCTGAAGATTAAGATAAGATAAGAAAACAGTAAACCCTGCCATCACATAGTCTCTCCTGTTATACTACACAAAGCACATTACAGAGAGTGAACACTGAAACAAGCTGCCTCTTTCCACTCTATATTTGTCCAACCTATTTTTATGTTACCCAAGTAATAGCTTTTATATCCTTTTACTCATGTACGAATTAATTGCTCTACCACTCACTACCACTAGTGAACATCGAAATAGTACCTCACTAGTATTGCACCTCACTCTGAGCCTTTATATACCCTCTGTGTCCGCGTATTGTTTGTAATGGCTTGATAAAGCTCCTGGAGAGCGAAACGTTGCCACAATAAATGTCACATTAGTTGTACTTGTGTCCTTTTACTTTACATATTGTCGGTAATTCTACCAACTTTATTACATGATCCTGTCAGTTCCAGCTGCTTGACCCCCTTTCATTCTATGTAATGCCTCACGCACCTCCCCCACACTCACATCCTGCTCTTCTTCACTCCTAAAAGATGGTATACCTCCCTGGCTAGTGCATGAAATTACCGCCTCCCATTCTTCGTCGACATTTAAAAGTTCCTCAAAATATTCTCGCCATCTACCCAATATCTCCATCTCCCCATCTACTAACTCCCCTACTCTGTTTTTAACTGACAAATCCATTCATTCCCTAGGCTTTCTTAACTTGTTTAACTCACTCCAGAATGTTTTCCTATTTTCATTAAAATTTCTTGACAGTGCCTCTCCCACTCTATTATCCGCTCTCCTTTTGCATTCTCTCACCACTTTCTTCACCTTTCTTTTACTCTCCATATATTCTACTCTTCTGCTTTGTAAAAACCTCTCATAAGCTACCTTTTTTCTCTTTTATCACACCCTTTATTTACTTCATCATTCCACCAATCACCCCTCTTTCCTCCTGCACACACCCTCTTATAACCACAAACTTCTGCCCCACATTCTAATACTGCATTTTTAAAACTATTCTATCCCTCTTCAACCCCCCCACTACTCATACTTGCACCAGCCCACCTTTCTGCCAATAGTTGCTTATATCTCACCCGAACTTCCTCCTCCCTTAATTTATACACTTTCACCTCCCTCTTACTTGTTGCCATTTTCCTCTTGTCCCATCTACCTCTTACTCTAACTGTAGCTACAACTAAATAATGATCCGATATATCAGTTACCCCTCTATAAACGTGTACATCCTGGAGCCTACCCATCAACCTTTTATCCACCAATACATAATCTAACAAACTACTTTTATTACGTGCTATATCAAACCTTGTATATTTATTTATCCTCTTTTTCATAAAATATGTATTACTTATTACCAAACCTCTTTCTACACATAGCTCAATTAAAGGCTCCCCATTTTCATTTACCCCTGGCACCCCAAATTTACCTACTACTCCCTCCACAACATTTTTACCCACTTTAGCATTGAAATCCCCAACCACAAGTACTCTCACACTTGGTTCAAAAACCCCCACGCATTCACTCAATATTTCCCAAAATCTCTCTCTCTCCTCTACACTTCTTTCTTCTCCAGGTGCATATACACTTACTATAACCCACTTTTCACATCCAACATTTATTTTACTCCACATAATCCTTGAATTAATACATTTATAGTCCCTCTTTTCCTGCCATAGCTTATCCTTCAACATTATATTAGTGTTTATTATTTTCAGTGCTTTCCTTGCTCTTAAGTTGGTGTCTGTCAATTTTCAGATTCTTTTATTTTACTTTTGCATCTTTTTTTTTTAGGCTATTGCGCACTTAATAAATGATAGTGTAAATATGTTTTCAGGCTTTTATATGCACTGGCAAGTAAAAAAAAGGCTGTAATTCGCTTTAAGGCGATATTTGCTTTACGGTAGCAGTCTGGAACCTAACCCACAGTATTAGTGAGGCATGCCTGTACATAATGCTATGCACATAAGTGGCTTTGGCATGCTGCTCTAACCTGTATTTTTTGTACCTCTGTATGTATGCTTAAATAAATAAATAAATAAATAAATAAATATGGTATTGTAATACTATGTGCCATGGAAAATAAACTATTTACTGTATTTTATGGCATCAAAGACTATTTTTTTTTTCCAACAAATAAGTCTTTAAAATTTACCCAGTGTCTTGGAGGCAGAAGTACCATTTTATCTTTTTTTCCAAAATTTAGCTAGTCAGAATTGGGAAAAAGAGGGAAAAAGGGGCAACCTCAACATCAGAGCATCTCATTCACCATGAAATACGGTAATTCTCTCATATTTATTGCACGTGAAGTCATGGAATCTCGTAACTTTTATTGGAAGAACGCATTTAATTTTACTTTGGCTGATGGGCTTTTCCCACAAATCATTATTTTGTCAATGTATTTTTTTATTTTTCTAAAATTTTCACCTTTTTCCACAGCTCTGGTACTACTGCAGGGAAGCCAGAAGCAACAGAAAAGGTTGTAATTCAGTTTGATCAGGACCAGCTGTACCAGCTGTACGGTCATCTGGAGCAGATACAGTCGCAACTTGACGCTCTCAGATAAAATTGACCAGGGGAAAAAGAAAGGATTTTTTTTATGATTTGGTATGTACAAAAACTGATTAGTATTGTAATTTTTTTTTCACTGCAGTATAACGTGTATAAAAATATTCTAAGTAGAGCTTGTGCACATACTTTTACAATTTTGTTACAGTATTTCATAGATGTATGAAAATGCCTCTATGGCATTAATTATTATACATATATATACATAAAACAAGGGTTGGTTGACATTAGCCTTAATAAATTGATGTACAGTTGAAACGGCTACTCACATTTACGACAACTTGACCCTAAATTGATGTACTGTACTAAGAAATATGAGAAAGTAATGGAAAATGTTAGGGAACTCAACAAGTATATTATTGTATTTATGGGAATGAACCAGTACAGGTTATGTAATACCCAGGAATGAACCAGTACAGGTTATGTAATACCCAGGAATGAACCAGTACAGGTTATGTAATACCCAGGAATGAACCAGTACAGGTTATGTAATACCCAGGAATGAACCAGTACAGGTTATGTAATACCCAGGAATGAACCAGTACAGGTCATGTAATACCCAGGAATGAACAGTACAGGTCATGTAATACCCAGGAATGAACCAGTACAGGTCATGTAATACCCAGGAATGAACCAGTACAGGTCATGTAATACCCAGGAATGAACCAGTACAGGTCATGTAATACCCAGGAATGAACCAGTACAGGTCATGTAATACCCAGGAATGAGCCAGTACAGGTCATGTAATACCCAGGAGTGAACCAGTACAGGTCATGTAATACCCAGGAATGAACCAGTACAGGTCATGTAATACCTAGGAATGAACCAGTACAGGTCATGGAGCACCTTGAGGAATGAGAGGTAGTCAGGTTTGATCTGAGAAAGGAGGGGAGAAGGAGCTTCAGTTCCTTGAATCAAGAGTTCTGTAATGAGTTCCTTTTAGTTTAGTCATCTCTCTTCAGAAAAACATTGTACTCTCGGTTCTATTTCAGCAGAATACTCTCTACAGGTGCAGTAATTATATGTACAGTTTTGTATATTAAGTTCTAGTTTGTATTTGTTAGTGTAGTTACAGTACATTATTATTATTATTATTATTATAATTATTATAAGCATGATGATACATTAAACCTGTAGGGGTTATACGACACCTGAGGTATGTTAGTTTCCATGCTGTCTGTATACAGTATTCTTTCTTGTCATTTATGACAATACATTTCATAAAAATAACAATATTTATATTTTAATATTACTCATGTCTATTATAGGCAGTGTCACCTTCTTTTGTTACATTGCTCTTTTTCCTTTCAAAGAGGCTGCCTTGATTTTAGGCTACTCTTAATCCAAGACATCGGACCTACCCCTTCCATCTTGGCTCATACTTGATTGCTTCCTATTTGCCTGTTATTGTAGTACCCTTGTGAATTTAGTAGACTTCTGAAAAGATATCTGTTGAATGAATAATAATGAATGCATTTCCTTCTTTGGGTCATCCTGCCTTGGCAGGAGGCATCCATTAAAAAACAATAATTTGAAATGTATTATTCACAGACTAATGTATTGCCTCTAGTATGTATAAAGAAAGTGTTGAATGATGATGAAAGTATTTTCTTTTTGGGGATTTTCTTTCTTTTTTGGGTCACCCTGCCTCGGTGGGAGACGGCCGACTTGTTGAAAAAAAAAAAAAAAAAAAAAAAATGTATAAATCATATATTCACATAGACCAAGAATTAATACTGTGTTAAGTTATTGGAATTTCATTGTGTTCATCCACTTCTACAAAAATTATTATCTGTACTGTACTACATTCATGAGGAAATGCTAAAATTGTAGGGGGTCATACAGCACCTCTGATATGAGAAGCAATCAGGTATGAACTGGGTAACTCCAGTTATGTGGATCAAGAGCCCTTCATTAGCATCAAGGCACTCTTTTCCTTCTTGAATGGATAACCCAAAAAAATAGGGTTTTCTTGTATTCTTAAATGCCCAATTAATCTTGTAATACTGACTGTAATTCCCTTAGCATGTGGGTGATGCTTCTCTCAAGGGAGGTTACTTGATGCCAGTAACCTCCAAGGAATTGGATATAGCCTCAATCTCTCTGATATGAACCTGATTATGTCCCATTCACCTAGGTGCAGTATGACCCCTACTGGTTTAGCCATTTCCCATGACTGTTTTTTAAAGGGGCGGACTGGTAAGCTAGCGGAAGACCTCGGTCAGATGACCAAAAGCTCCAGTTGCACATCATCATATGACTAAGACCAGTGTCAGGAAACCACTTTTCCTGTTTCCTAACAAACCTTACCTAAACTAACCTAACCTAACCTGAATAATTTTTTTTTTCCAACATGCCAGTCATATCCCACTGAGGCAGGGTGACCTAAAAAGAAAACTGAGTCTTTTCTTTTCAAATTTAATTATAACTTGAATAATAAGCAGTTATAATAATGTGGGTGATGCTGTATGACCCATTTCTGTAAAGTGTCTGCTTGTGAATGTAATATATGTGGGTGTTGTACTTGCAAGTCAGTTGTGAATACACAGTTTCCTCAGTACATGGACTCTTGCCGTATAGCTCAGCATGATAGTTCTAAGATAAATGGTATAAAATACTGACGCGATGGAAAAATACACAAATGGAGTACAATGTGATCCCTTATTGACTATGTTTCACTTAAACAGTGGGCTTTATCAAGTCATTCACAATTAATCTGTTTGTGACTTGATAAAGTGCACTGTGTGGGCAAAATTTAGCCAGTAAAGGATTGCATTATACTGCATTTGTGTCTTTTTCCATGATGGTTCTAACACACATCTAGTAGCTGTATTTGCATCTTCATGAAATTATATACAATGCTGTATGAGGATACCATGCTGAAGAGTACCCTATTGACTGATGCCCCACTGTACTGGGGTTGATATATTTGAACTAACCTCAGGTTATAAGGCACTGGTATAATCTTTTGTCTTGTTAATCAAAGAGCATGTATTGCTATATTTAAAAAATAATTAAACCAATATGAGTCATGTAATGTTGCTCAGAGAGTATGTTAATAGGGTAACAAAAATGCAGCTGCAGTGAAGATCTTTATTTGTACAGTGTTTCACCCAACACCGGGGTTTTTTCAAGTACATAGCACACAAGAGAAATGATCTAAGTAACATACAGGGAGGTCTACCAGCCCATGTTCAGCTGACCGTGTTTCAAAACAATACGTACAATGAGAGTTGATACCCAATATCACTCCCTTGTTTTCTTTAATGGTGTCAGTTTGATAACCGACAATTCTAGGCATCATCTCATTTGGTCTTGCTCCTGTTATAGTAGTTCAGCTTTAACCCACACCTTGATCTAAGAACTTTAGTTGTGATGCTGATCACAGGTGTTATTGTGTGTTTTAAGAGCATATCTGTATTCCTGTAGACAGACTGATAGACTTTTGGCTGTTTCTCTGATGCATACCTAGTCACAACCACCACATGGAATTCTTTACATTCTTGCATCCTTAGGTCTGTTACATGGCATCAACATTCATGTAAAATCCCAGATGGTCTTAGTAGTGACTGCTATGATGGCCATGCTGGATTCTGAAAGGTGGAAAACACTGGCCACAGTGGTACCCATAGGTAATATGTACATCTTGTGTTGTTTTTCCATCTCCTAGCATTGCAGTGCATCTCACTGGCATCTCTTTGCCAGAGGTTAGGAAAACAACAACACAAGTACATATTACCCACAGGTACTGTCAGACTGTCTCCCACCCTTCAGAAATCCAGCAGTGATGTCATGATAGTCACTACAAAGATCATACGGGGTCTCACCAGGACCTTGATGTCATATACCAGCCCTAAGGATGCATTAGTGTAGAGAATTCAGTGGGGTGCTAGTAACCAGATATACACTGGGGAAAAAGTTTAGAAGTCTGTCTAGAGAAATGCTCATAAACAGACACCCGTGTACAGCATCACAATTCACATTCACACTGCATGGCATGGGACAAAGCTGAGCTTCTATACCACATAGATAATGCCTGGAATCATAAGTATCAAATTAACCTAAACCCTTAAACAAAATGATGGGATATTTACTGCATCATTTCCCACAGTGCATATTTTAAATCACAACTGAACCTAATGGGCTGGTAGGCCTCCTGCAGTGCACCTTCCATGCTTGAGTAATTTTACATAGACCTAAGCATGTGACACCTGAAGGTGATGCCACTCCCTGTGGACTATCTAGACCAAAACTTATCCAGAGGGCTGAGGAGGGGTTATTGAGGTGGTTCGGACATGTAGAGAGGATGGAACAAAATAGAATGACTTCAACTGTATAAATCTGTAGTGGAGGGAAGGTGGGGTAGGGGTCGGCCTAGGAAAGGAGGTTTTGTGTGCGAGAGACTTGGATTTCCAGCAAGCATGCGTGAGTATGTTAGATGGGAGCAAATGGAGACAAATACTTTTTAGGACTTAGACGTGCTGTTGGAGTGTGAGCAAGGTAACTTTATGAAGGTATTCAGGGATACTGGCAGGCTGGACTTAGAGTCCTGGAGATGGGAAGTATAGTGACTGCACTCTGAAGGAGGGGGTGTTAATGTTGCAGTTTTATAATTGTAGTGTAAGCAATCCTCTGACAGGACAGTGATGGAGTGAATGATGAAAGTTTTTTTGTTTTGGGCCACCCTGCCTTGGTGGGAAACAGCCGATGTGGTAATAGTAAAAAAAAAAAAATGTCTGGTGTGTACTTTGAAAAAGTCCAGTTTTGAGCAAAATGTTCAAATAAAGATCACCACAAGAATTGTCCCTGTTACCAATTGTCTGCAGCTTGCCACTGTCCAACATTTTCAACCTCTTTCATTGCTGATTCCCTCACTGGCTGCCTTCTTGTCAGAAATGCCCACCTTCAGTATGCTCACAGAGTGAAAGAGGCACTACTCCCACCTTTCCCTCTTAACTGAAACTGACTTATTACACCAACTTTTAACTTGCTGCTATGGCTCCTTGAGTAGCAAGTTAATCTCAGGATTTGCTGATGAAAGATTGAAACCCTTTACTCCTTGTACTGATGACCTACACTGGTATAGCAATTTGTACAAATATAAGAATAACACTCCTTTGTCATGTGCTGAATGACCCATATAGGTTTAGGCCTTTTATCAGAACATATCTAGTACTTATACCTACGTAAATGTATTAAGATGTTTAGGCTGAAAAGAAAAAAAAAAAGCGTTTTTATTGTATACTTTATTCATAGTGAGGAAGGCTGTACATACCTTAGACAATACTGAGGACATAGCTCATGGTGGAGATGTTTGACCCAAAATAATAGTGTAGCGAAGAGGAGCATCCATGCCACACAAACATATTATTATTATTATTATAATCAAAAAGAAGCGCTAAGCCACAAGGGCTATACAGCGCTCACACAAACATAAATAATACAAAAATAATATTCTGACTGGTTACCTACTATACCAAGTCACTTATACTATAATCACAAACATTAACCTTGGGGCACAGTGCTGTTCATAATTATTGACAGCTGGTGGATTTTCTTTTCTACACACATTTTAATAATCAAATTAGGCGCTAAACCCAAAAGGGTCATACAGCGCTGCAACACACTGTAATGATGCTGTATTTAATAATGATCAAATGTTAACTAAACAGTGATAACATTTAAATTTTTTTTTAAGTACTGTAACTTTGATTATACAGTATTTTTATGTATACCAGTGGTAGAATATAGTATGTTAATAAGACAATATGCATTTGATGGCATTTTACTAAGTTCGTCCTGCAGGGACCATCTTGTTTCGTGGAGGACATTTTATCTTGATAAAATGCCACAAACCTCACATTGTCTTTACAGCATTTTTAATATGGTTTAGATTTTCTTTTATAAATATTGGGATAATTTTTTTCATTTTAATGTATATGGTGTCAAGCAATAAAAAGTCCAAGTGCCAATGAACAAGATAAAATCATTTCAAAATACCTTAAATCAGTCTACCCACCAGGAAAGCATACATGCACAGCCAATTCCAAAATAAATACCCGCCAAGAAATACACTTGCATTACCTATGAGAAGTGCATAGTCTTACAAAAAATGCAGTATACATACCTTTCCTTATTAACCTCTACAACCATTTATGTAATTGAGGTCCATTTAATGTTAAAACTTCCTAGTGCTTTGTAATTTTTTTTTCAACTTTTTCCAAAATGTATTTTGAATTTTGTGTAAAACATTCTACTTCCTTAATTTGGAGTAGACTATTTGCAACTTTCCCAAAAAGCAATTTGGCTATCATTTTTACTTTCAAGCATTGTTCCGATACAGAATGTACATACCAAGAAATGAAAGACATTAAAAAGTGGCTATCCATCCATTTCTTAGTGGAGGTGTTTACCCAGTTTAACCCAGTTGTGTTTTAAAGAATGGAACTGTATGCTTCATAGACGGGGTTCCCAAACCTAGGGTTATCTCCTACATATAAACTTGTGTTTTTCCAAATTTTGTCTATGCTGTAAATCTACCACAATTTGCTGGGGTGCTAAGTAGGTGCCAGTGCCATTTGACTGGAAAAAGAAAACTTTGGGAACCATTAGTCTTTATAAGCTGTTAATCAGTCACAGCATTCTTGCCCAACTGAGCCAATAGCATAGCTTTAATAATATGATGATTAGGAACTATATCATGAAAAATTCACACGTGCCAGTTTTCATCTCCAAATAACAGAAAGAACTGCCGAGTAATTTAAGAAAAGAAAAGAGTATCCTCAGTAAGCTTTTTTTTTTTTTCCATATTTTCTAAATGCACACAGTGAAAATAGTACCAAAAATTAAGCAAAGATACCCTCCAGTTTTTCGGGGAAGGCTACTTCGATGCTGGGTGAAGTCTCTTGATCCAAAGAATTAAGAGCTAAGCTTTCCCTCCTGGATCAAACCTGACTGCATCTCATGCCCCATGCACTTACCCCTGTAAGTTTAGTATTTTCCCATCATCATCATCAATAATAATTCCGATAAAGCTTTTTATTATAAAGCACACTCTTCAAGTGACATGCCTAAATCCCACATGCTTCTCTTCCTGTAACTAACAAATATGCTTATAAAAACACCAACATGTAACTCTCCTTCATACTAAGATTTATAGTATAGTATTTTTAAAGCTACATACCTAGTTTCTGGCAAAAAAAAAAAAAAATCCTGACTAATGCTACCTTAAAGGATATGGCTTAAGTCTGGCATATATCAGCCTATAACGAATTTTATGATCATGACATTTTCCCCTCGAGTAATACACTGCTCCAGAACATACAACATTAATTTTGTGTAAAGCTTTAGCAATGCAAACATTGTTATCATAATAATAAGCTTGTTTGCTTTTGTGTGTACTCAACTAATTGTGGTTGCAGGGGTCGAGTCACAGTTCCTTCCTCATCCCCCCCCCCCTTTGCTGTCTGTCTGTCTTTTATGCCATCCTGTCAGCATCTTCCATTGTATTAAGATAGAATTATAATTGCAATTAAAGCACAAAACAATTACATAAAAACCAGCATTTGAAAAACTTCAAAATCAAATTTGTGCTATCAGGACGGTCTGCTTAATTCTTGAGAAACATAAGTTTACCTGACAAATCTTTTCTCAAAATGCCAATTATATCACATCACTCTCTTTTGCTGCTTTTACTCTATTTTCTTATTTTTTTCTATAAATGTGTACATTTATTGTTAGAGACGGCCAATGAAATTAAAAAAATGTACACTTTTTAGCTGGAAAAAAAGCTTATAACAAAATAAAAAATTTGACAGTTAGATCAATACTCAAACTAGCATATCTGTCTGACCACATTAACTATCTTAATTATTAGTTTTGCAAGACAACATGATGAAATTCACCAACAATTACTCAACAGCAGTTAATTCTCACTTAGTTATGCAAAACTCAGGAGCAAACTTCTATATCCTGTTAGGTACAGCTAAACAGTTCAAATATTACAGAAGACAAGTAACAACACTTCTAAGCCAATGGACACTTAGTGCTCATCAGTTCAGTACGCTGTCGAAAGAATGATATGGTATCAAACTAACCATTCAAAAGGGAAAAAAAAAAAAATACGTACAAACTGGGCTAATGAAAGCCTCAATATTTTATGTATGGGGCAGTAATATGTAGGAAACAAACTGTAATCTATAATTTACTACCCCTTTTAAAAGGGGGGGGGTGCCTTTATGCAAGGCCTCTTGATCCAAGTACCTGGAGTTACCCTCCCATTGGATCAAATCTCATTCCCCCACTCCCCAGGCGCTGTATGACCCTATGGGTTTAGTGCATCCCCTGTATGAAATAACTTACAGTAATATACAGTATTTCTACTGCCTGGATATCAACTGTTTTATTTTCAATTTAGTTTGTCTGGCAAAAAACTGATGGGACTGATTTCTATAATTTCACTGAAGGCTGTCTTAATTTCTAAATGGTAAGGCAAACATGTTTCTCCTTAGCATACCTATCCTCTACTATTCTAATGTTCGAAACTAAGGATTAAGTTACATTACTGATCAAATTCAGAAAATGGTATACGAAGAGTAGCAAGATAACTAAGGTCATTTCGGCATATGAAAGTAATGCAGAATTAATTCCAAGTGTTGCAGTCTACAGAATATAGGCTCTTGTTAAGTACTATAAGTAGCAATGATGGCGCATACAGGTATAATGCTATTGTGATTATAAAAATTTTGCAAAATGAACTAAGAAATGCACACACATTTTTTAAAGCAAGTTGAATTTTATGAAAAGTCTCTTACCAATTACAACAAAAATAACTGACCCATGTTATTAGTATAATTTTTCCAAAAATCACTTCCCAAAAAATAAAAAAAAAAATCCCCAAAGCCTCTTGAATGGCAGATTCTGAAACATGCCGCAAATATCATCCCAAATCAAAGAATTGCAGCATTACTTCATACGTACAATCTTGCAACAGCTTCAACATTTGTAGAAACATGTTTCTCTTCTGTACTAAGCGGCACTTTTCACACGCCCCTATCTGAAACTACTCAACACAGCCAATATGCAGATAACGAGGACTGGGTGAAGTGACATTACCGGATCCACCATGAGTGAACCAGCCACATTGGACATCATTCAGAGATGGGCACAGAGTTTGTGGGTGCTCAGGAACTTCACGTAGATTGCAAAACGTTCATGCTAAGGCAAATTCTAAGTGGCCAAAGGTTGGGACATGAGGAATATACTTCCATAAGCCATGATTGCGGCAAGCTGTTACTAAGTGCAAATTTGTTTCCTAAATAGATGATTTTTAGCAGCAGCTCTGTGTAGTCGACCCCTCATGGAAATAAAACATATCTTCATATTCCAGTAAACACTGCTGTGCTCCTGGTCCAGCTATCCATGGCAGAAGCCTGCATTACACCTGACATTTTGGGGGTGCACCCTTCAAGTCAAAATGCCCACAACACCGGTGGAAGGTGGTTTTTTTGTATATAATTGGGTCGAATCTGTTCGTCCATTATTACTGGCTCACCGTAGGGATTATAACGGTATACCTCCACCCATGTGCCACCATGTGGTGGATCTTGCTGAGGTAACTAAGCACCCCCTGGCACTGCTACTGCTGTTGCTCTTGCGACTTGCGTCTGCATACTCGCCGCTGGAGAACTTCGATGCTAGACGATGCTGGCTTGAGAAGGATCTGAGGGTATGCGTTTCCTCAAAAAAATTTGGATTACATTTTCATTTTGGATGAGTCCAGTCCTCATGTTTGTTGTTCATTCTGATTGTTCCTGGTCTTCTCGACGGCGTGGCAATCACCTGCTTGCTGGACATACTGCCCGTTACAAACTTTACATGCTGGGACCTGGGTATTATCAGCGAAACTTGACTTGACCATGACTTTCATGAGAAGCATACAGCGTGTTCTGCTTCTTGAATAGGATATGCGCACGCGATTCTTGTCATATGGAATCAGCTTGCGTCACAGGCTTCTCCGCAGGTATATGATACTCACCGTTGGTATACTTCATCCATGAGCTATGTAGAAGTCTGACTAGTAACGAAGTAGCTGTACCCTATACATATCCACTCTAACTGTACATTTTCTAACTCTTCTCACCTACACTGACCCTGCCAACCCCACCTCCCCTGTCGCTCCACCTTCCCCCCCGCCCTGCGCAGCGCTCCCAATCACAGCCACGCCCAAAACCAGGCACGCACTACATCCATGCTAGATCGTTCGCACACAGGTGATGCCCACGAGTGTCTCTTCCAGAGATGACGCTCTCCGGCTGTCCAATATCTAGCCTCAGAAACCTGCCAAAAGCAATATGCATCCAGTATACCATACACCATTGAAAGATTGTAAATTCAGAACCTATCAGGCACAAACTATACTGTTATGAAAACCTGACCATATGAATGTAGGACAATTCTAAGTGTAGGGATATATGAACTGCTGTCAGCCAGTCCAAAATTATCAAATTATTAATCAGGCTTAGTCTTACCATGGTTAATAGTGTGATGGGGCTGGGAAGTCTCCAGGACTCTTGGATTGCTGGTTACAAATTGTTACTTCGTTGACATCTACAAGAGTGTTGTTTGCCGACTTCAGAAGCAGTTTATAAAAAAATGGATCCAGGACTTAATTTAGCAATCTGGTATGACCTATGGTGCAAGATTTTTGTTTAAACAAGATATTTAAATTTCGAGACAACTAAAAATTTTATGGAATACCTTCTGACTTGCCTAGTCAGAAAAATTGTTTTGCTAAACATATAATGTGCTTAAATTGCCCATAATCAGTATGAACATAAAAATTAATGCTGTAATTTCAGCTGTTATTACCGTAAGTAATTCTAATTAAATTTAGGCCTGACCAAAGAAAGGTTTAAAATAATTTTTTTTAATACAGTGACCATCTCCCAAAAAGACAGGGTGACCCAAAGAAGACAAAGTTAGTTT